CGAGTAAATAGACACCAAACTAGTCACTTTTTAAATTTGCACAGGCCTGTGGAATGGCAACAAACTACGGTACATTCAATTTTCCACAAGAAACAGGTCACCAGTTTAGCGGTAAACAAGCAGTCTGCTACTAGAATTATTGCTCTTGCTCTATATATATATATATATATATATGTGATGCACACATTGACAGCGTTGTAGAAGTACCTGCAATAATACTTTTTTATCAGATTTAATTTTTTTTTTTGGGGGGGGGGGGGTTAATTTAAATTTTTTTTACACTGTACCTTTTTTTTTTTTTTTTTTTTTTTTTTTTTTTTTTTTTGGGGTGACCAACTATTGATATCACAAGGGATGAACAGCATCCCTTCTGATAGTATTGCCTGTGACAGGCCCTTTTTTATGGAGAGATATGGAGTCTATAAGTCCTCATGCACAGTGGATGTTTTTACAGTGGCTGTTTTTGGCTTTTGACATTTTTTTTTTTCTACAGCCAGTAAACCCCCCAGCATGTTATCCTATGTGTCTGTGCACACATAGACTGTAATCAACGTTTTTTTTAGCTGGAAAAAAGCCCAGGACTAGTGGGTCTCTAGAGGAGTTTTTTTAGCTGTAAAAACGTTCTAACACTGGAAAAATGCAGTAAATTGCGGCAAACCGGTGTTTTTGGACTTTTTTTTAGCAAAAAAAAAAAGCTGCTAAACGCTAATTAAAAAACGCTGAAAAACTCATGTTTTAACGTGACTTTACATGGCTAACGTTATTGAAACGCCCCGTGTGCATGGAGCCTGAGTGTTTTTGAGCCTGAAGTTTTTGTAGGAGTATAACTTTTGTTAAAAAACACAAACTGTGAAAAACACTAAAAAAAAAAGCTGAAAAAATCTATTGCAAAAAAAACGCAAACAAACTCCCGTTTTTATTGCAGCATTCTACCACTCATGCTACTGGCATTTGCATTAGAGTGCTAAAGAATGCGCAGTGAATGCTGATTATTGTTTGGGTGGATCTTTGTAGTGATTATCATTGTTGGGTATCTGTATACTGTGGATTGTGCGTTGTGTTTTACAAGCATTCCTGGTTATTATGTGTACTCGGCTGGGATATCTGACAGCTGCAGAGCCTGAGATGAAAGGAGTCGGTGTTCTGTTAACGTATCACCAACCACACCAAGGCAGGATAATAGTTTTGCTTGCAGGTGGCCTTAAGGCCCCATGTACACGGGACACTTCTAAATGATGGAAACTAACTGCTGGAAAACAAAGGTTAAAAAATGTTTGTTTAGCCGCATTTGCATAACGTGTTTATGAGCGTTTTGCATTTAGAAGCATTTTTTAAAGATAAGCACAGGAGAGCCTCCCAAATGCCCAGAATGCACTGAAAAGTGGAAAATTATTAACTATTTCAGACTGTTTCAGAGAAATACAGAGAGTAGAAGTAGAGACAGCAGTATGTGTTGAGATAATTAGGTGTGAGTTGCTCATTGACATTTCTTTTGTTTCCAAGGGTGGGAAAGGTGTCTGGTGGAGTGAATCATTAAGGTCACCTGGCAGGGGGTCTTCATGAGGAACTTGAGCTGTGAATGGATATTTAAAATATCTTTTGTTTCCAAGGGGAGGAGAGGCCTGAAATGTGAATTGGTCATTAACATATCTTTTGTTTCCAAGGGTGGGAGAGGTCTAAGGTGTGAATTGGTCATTAACATATCTTTTGTTTCCAAGGGTGGGAGAGGTCTAAGGTATGAATTGGTCATTAACATATCTCTTGTTTCCAAGGGTGGGAGAGGTCTGAGGTGTGAATTGGTCATTAACATATCTTTTGTTTCCAAGGGTGGGAGAGGTCTGAGGTGTGAATTGGTCATTAACATATCTTTTGTCTCCAAGGGTGGGAGAGGCCTGAAGTGTGAATTGGTCATTAACATATCTTTTGTTTCCAAGGGTGGGAGAGGTCTGAAGTGTGAATTGGTCATTAACATATCTTTTGTTTCCAAGGGTGGGAGAGGTCTAAGGTGTGAATTGGTCATTAACATATCTTTTGTTTCCAAGGGTGGGAGAGGTGGTATGATTGGTCATTAACATATCTCTTGTTTCCAAGGGTGGGAGAGGTCTGGGGTGTGAATTGGTCATTAACATATCTTTTGTTTCCAAGGGTGGGAGAGGTCTGAGGTGTGAATTGGTCATTAACATATCTTTTGTTTCCAAGGGTGGGAGAGGCCTGAAGTGTGAATTGGTCATTAACATATCTTTTGTTTCCAAGGGTGGGAGAGGTCTGAGGTGTGAATTGTTCATTCACATATCTTTTGTTTCCAAGGGTGGGAGAGGTCTAAGGTGTGAATTGGTCATTACAATGTGTGACAAGCTTGGTAGGAACATCCTGTGTTCAGTGTTTTGTCCATTTGAGTACCTTGAAAGCGCTTTGCATGCATTTTCATGAAAAAAAATTTTTTCAAACTCAATGCTTATAAACGCAATTTGCGGCGTTTACAGGCGTTTTGCATTTGAAATACTGATAAAATCGACTGCTAAACGCAAATTATCTGCGGTCAAAAAAACTACTGTTAACTCAAATGCCTGTAAACGACTGTAAACGAAGATGTGTACATGGATACATAGGAAAACATTAGGGTGAGTTCCGGGGCTGCTGAAAAAAAAAAACGCTGAACAGCTCCTAAATGTGTTTTATCAGCTGCAGTGTACATGAGCCCTTAAACTTTATCTGAAACCAAGAAAAAAATGTCATGTTACAGTTTATCACTCCTTAATCTCATAGATTGTAAGCTCCCAGGACCAGGGCCCTCCTAACCCTTTTGTATTGAACTGTATTGTTGCTGTATTGTCTCCCATTATATTGTAAAGCGCTGAGCAAACTGTTGGCGCAATATAAATCCTGTATAATAATAATAATGACGCACACGGGACGTTTTGATAACGCTGGTAGCGTTAGCTGTGTAAAGTCACAATTAAAACCTTGACTTTTTCAGCTTTTTTATTTTTTCTAGTTTTTTTTGCATTAGCGTTTAGTGGCATTTTGCCATGATTAGTTGCATTTTCCCCGCGTTTACGGGTTTTTTTTAGCGTTTTTTAGTGTTTTTTTTTTTGTTCTAAAAAAAAAAACTGTCCCAAAACGCTGGTTTATGGTGTTTTTTTACTGTGTTTTTTTTACAGCTAAAAAACTCATAGAAACCAACTAGTTTTGTGGGGGGGGGTTTTTTTCCTGCCAAAAAAAAACGGCCCAGACAAAAAACGCTTATTATGCAGGCCATACATGGGCCGAATTCCGAACGATTTTTCGTCCGAAAATCGAAAACATCATTAGATCAGTAATCCGATGGTGCCATCAATGATTTCAAAAATCGTCCGACCAAGTCAAAAACTTCACCCCATATAACAGGCAAAACTTCTGTTCCTTCCGGGTCATGGCTCATGTGCATATTCTTTTTGGAAAAACGATCGTATGATTTGACCATCATTGTGTCAAAAATCGGTAGTTTCTCACAAATTTTCCAACATGCCGATCACCAAAAAGGGGAACAACTACGAAAATCGGCCGGTGCCATTGACCCACTAACAGAGTGAAAATCGGCTGATTATTCTTGGGTCCGATTTTTGGACAAAAAAAAAATCGGTCGAATTTCGACCCATGTATGGCTAGCATTACAGTCTATGTGTGTATGGACGCATAGGATAACATGCTGGGGGATTTACTGGCTGTAGAGAAAAACGTCAAATGCCAAAAACAGCTGCTGTAAAAACATCCAGTGTGCATGAGGACTTAGACGTGGTGGCTGCATTATTTTCTTATTTTATTTTTTTTTTTTCTCCTAATCTGCCAGTAAAACACTTTCTAACGCTCACTCACTGTACCGTATCTATGGAGTAACAGCATTGTTACCTAGGTCAGGAATACAGAACACCTCCCCCTCTCCTCACCTCTATTGCATAAGGCGGCACGTCCTGAAGTCCACAGCGGCGGCACGTCCTGAAGTCCACAGCGGCGGGCACGTCCTGAAGTCCACAGCGGCGGCACGTCCTGAAGTCCACAGCGGCGGCACGTCCTGTAGTACACAGCGTGGGCAGGTCCTGTAGTCCACAGCGTGAAGTCCACAGCGTGGGCAGGTCCTGTAGTACACAGCGTGGGCAGGTCCTGTAGTCCACAGCGTGAAGTCCACAGCGTGGGCAGGTCCTGTAGTACACAGCGTGGGCAGGTCCTGTAGTCCACAGCGTGAAGTCCACAGCGGGAGGCACTCAGTCCTGTTATCCACAGCTGCGGAGTCCACAGCGGCGGCACGTCCTGTAGTCCACAGCGGCGGCACGTCCTGTAGTCCACAGCGGCGGCAGTCCTGTAGTCCACAGCGGCGGCCGTCCTGTAGTCCACAGCGGCGGCACGTCCTGTAGTCCACAGCGGCGGCACGTCCTGTAGTCCACAGCGGCGGCACGTCCTGGAGTCCACAGCGGCGGCACGTCCTGTAGTCCACAGCGTGGGCAGGTCCTGTAGTCCACAGCGTGGGGCAGGTCCTGTAGTCCACAGCGTGGGGGGAGGTCCTGTAGTCCACAGCTGTAGTCCACAGCGTGGGCAGGTCCTGTAGTCCACAGCGTGGGCAGGTCCTGTAGTCCACAGCGGCGGCACGTCCTGTAGTCCACAGCAAGAACACGTGGTTTCTCAGCAAGCCGCCGTTTTATTGACATTTCTTCAGTTATTTCTGGTTTCTGGCCTAGGCCAAATGGCGTCCTACATCCCAGGATGTAAAGTAGTAGATGGGGGTGTTCACATATCTTGGTCACCATGCTTAGCTTTGTCCCCGCAGGAAAAAACCATCACTCCTGTTGTATTGTGGACATTGGAAAGTCCTGTGTAGGCTGATGCAATGTACATGGTGTGTCATGACTGAGCATTTGTAAAAAGCTAACCTTTTGTTGTGTCTTTTATTATTTTTTTAATATTTCTTTGATGGAGAAATTGACATTGCTAATAGCAGATTGTGTATTGCCTTCTTCCTTCTGCAGGAGATGATATACAGTGCGGTACCTTATATCCAGCGGCCCGCTTCCTCGGGGAAAACGTATGGCAGCCATACAGCTGTATGATGCACAAGTACAAGTCCAGGTATGACCAACCACAGCACACCGCATGTTAAGAGGAGGAATGGGAGGATACGCTTAGCTGAGGTCGGTGTTCTTGGGCATCAGTTGCGGCATTGTGTGGAGATGACCCACAATATGGTTCCTCCATGGAATTCGCACACAGTGGGATCAGCTTAAAGAGGAAATTCACTCTTTCAATCAACATTGACAATTTTTTTTTGTCCTTTTTTTTTTTGAGGACGGTTTACTTCCTGCTTTCTTGGCCCAGGCAAATATCATACATCCCAGGAGTCCTTGAGAGGGGAGGAGGGGTTTTCTCCGTAAAGCACACCCTCCTTGATGCATGCCTGAGCTAAGGGCAGCTGGATTCAAGGAAATAAATGCTACATGAATCATATGGCTTTACTCAAGTTGGAGGACCGCAGCTAGAAACGACAGGGGGGTGTTTTTTGCCAAAGGGATTTCTCAGCAAAATAAAAGCATGGAGACCTGGATAGATGGGGCTTTTCGGTTTTTTTGAATATTAAAAATGAATTAAATGGTACCTATGGTTTTGTGGTGCTCAGATACAATTTGGGTTGTTGCTTTAACCACTTCCCGTCTGTGGCCCATGTATATAAATGGCTGGATGGGAGCAGTGCAGGAGCAGGTTGTCGTTCATAAACTGCGCCCGCCATTTTAGCCTGTGTGCGGATTTAATACCGAAAGGATTGTTGGGTGCGCTGTAAGGGCCCTGGGATCACGCGGCACCGCATTCCAGTGCCCGCTGTGCCCTCCGGACACAGCAGAACAAACCGATTGCTGTACGGGACTTCTGTGTGAGATCCCGATCATGGATCACTGATTGGTCAATCAGTGATCACATGAATAGTAATAAGCAAGATGTCACTTCTGACATCATTGCTTGCTACTAGTGAAATATGTGAATGATCACACAGAGATCACATGGTACAAGACTATTCACAACAGCTTTTGTACCATGTGACTAGCTGTGACCAATCACAGCTCACACAGTATTTCTCAATGGTTGCAAGAATGCAGCCAGAGAAGGAGACATAATTACTTTTACAGCCTTTATGGGTGTAAAAGCAATCAGTGTAAAAAAAAAAAAAAAAAAAAATGCAATACCTTTTTTTTTGTGTGAAAAACTCTTCATCACCCCCCACTAGTACAGTGTCACTATGGTAAATTCCAATATATATACCTCCTAGATTGTAAGCTCGAAAGAGTAGGGCCCTCTTACCCCTTGTGTACTGTTTGTGTTACTGTTCTGTTTCATGTATTGTCCCCCTCTATTGTACAGCGCTGAGCAAACCCTTTGGCGCTATATAAAACTCGATAAATAAATAATAGTTTGTAGACGCTATAACTTTCACCCCAAGCCAATTAATATACACTTATTACATTTTGGCCTAAGTTTATTAAGAATTTTTTTTATTTATTATTTTTTTTTTTAATTGGATATGTATATTTTTTTTTTCTTCAAAATTTTCAGTCTTTTTTCGATTATGTAATAGTAAAAATAGTAAAAAACTCAGTGGTGATCAAATACCACAAAATGAAATTTGTGTGAAAAAAAAATATAAATTTAATTTGGGTATATGGTAGCATGACCGAGCCTGTAAAGTAATTCAGTGCTGAATAGCAAATAATGACCTGGTCATGTGGGGGGGGGGGGGGGGGGGGGGGGGGGGGGTTAAGTTTTTTGTAAATGTTAATATGTTAAAAACTTCGAGAGGGCAAGTGGTTAAGTATTCTGTTTTATACCTCTTTGATAAATTGATAAATCTGAAAAAAAAAAAAAAAACCTGTTGATCTTGTCAGAAATTCAGAGGTGTCCCCTGTTCACTTCCAGAGTTCTCTCAAAGAGCCCTATCTAGTTTTTATCTTGGACTATGGAATAATGAGCCTTCATATTGTAGACATCAGAGAGTAGTTTAGTAAAGTAGTAGCTTATGGTTGGGTAGTTTAATAAAACCACTGGGCAGGGCTGGCACTACAAAGCTGCTTTGTGTTGTTGGCTCACATCAGGAATGAGGAGTTGGTTTCTGGCAGATACGGGTATTTTATTTTGGCTTGACATACAATTTGAAATAAATACTTTGCTGTTTTTCATAGTGAAGGCAAAAGCTGCTTGGCTGATCGACATGTAGCATTCATAGGAGATTCCAGGATACGTCAGCTCTTCTATGCTTTTGTCAAGATTCTCGATCCACGCATAAAAGAAGAAGGGATCAAGGTATGTCGTGGTGCCAACAACATTTATTGTGCAACCTCTCACCTCACCATGCAGCAGCCGCTCTGGGTGTGATAATGTCAGAAGGGCCCCCCGGGAGCAGTGCGGGTAGAGAAATAGACAGGGCCTCTTTGTGGTTAAGCTAGGGTCATCCAGTAATGTACTAATAAATAATGAGTAAGTTTGGGTGGAGTTCTCTTGCCTGTCTTTGACTTGTTGACATGCGTACCTTCACTAAAGTTAAATGGAAAACTCCTCTTTGAGTTAGACCAGTACAAATTGTAGCGGGAGGAACCTTTTGATTCCTGCTGTGGCTGTGAGTGGCTAAATGCACTATAATGAGATTTTGCCAAAGGCCGCAGCTATTTGCAGCTCTCTGCATAGCCAACGATTACCTGCTGTGATTGCTGCTGGACGCACACAAAGTATATCCAGTAGCAATCGCCGCAGGTAATTTCTGGCTTTGCAGACAGCTGCGAATAGTTGTGGCTGCCAGAAACCCATCATGATAGTTTATGGGGCTGGCAGCTGCATCTGGCGAATTACAGCCGCAGCAGGAATCGATCATGCGATTGCTTCACAGCCATCACAAGGTACAGAGCCACTCTGTACCTCGTGACTATTATCTGAGCTGACCAATGACTGCTCAGATCACAGCCATGTAAAGGATAAGTTCAGTTTTGAGCAAAAATAATAAATGCACATTATTTTTGGTTGCATGAGCCTGTAAAGCATTGCACTAGCGATCAGCAGATCGCCGGTGCCGTGCAGGTTTCCTGCAGACCTGTCAGTATATCTACTTGCACGTACGGGATGTACGGGCAAGCAGATGTGTAACCGGAAGAACCAATGAACTGCCACAGTGCTCCATATTGCCGTGGTAGTTCATTGAAAACTACAAGCTGACAGCCGCAAAGGCTGTTGAGACTTGTAGTTCATTCACTCACAGAACTCTGTGAATGAATGAATGACCTGGCCATGTGGGCGGAGCGCTGCATTGCTGCGCTCTTTTTAAAAAGTGACAGCTAGTATGGGGAACTTCTCCCAGTACTGCTGTCACAAGGAAGGGGGGGGGAGAGCGGGCATCGGCTGCAGCATTGAGAACATGTTACATGTTCCACCCTAAAAACAAGTGGAACATGTAACATTTTCCCAAATGGTGAACTTATCCTTTAAAGTGTTTCCAAAGCCTCAAGGTTTTTTACCTTTTATGCATTCTATACATGAAGGTGAAAAACCTGTGTGCAGCATCATCCCCAGCCCCCCCCCCCCCCCCCCAATACTCGATCCAGCAATGAGCACTGGAGTCTCGGCTATTCTGGGACTCCCATTTCTCATTGGCTGATACAGAAGTGGGAGCTATTGGCTCCCACTGCTGTCAATTACAGCCAGTGAGCCAGTGAGAACAGAGAGGGTGCAGGGCCGAACCACAGCTCCGCGTGTGAATGGACACACTGAGCAGCGGGTGCCCCCATAGCAAGCTACTTGCTGTGGGGGGCACCCTACAGGAGGGAGGGGCCAGGAGAGCCTATGGGGGGGGGACCTGACAAAAATACGCATTTCTGCCACCCATCTCTCCCCTTAAGCTGCATTAGGCAGCTGACTGGAGTGTGTATATGCTGTGGCCTTGAAGCTTCGTGCCTGCGTCAAGGTTTGCTGACATGTAGGGATTGGCGTGTGTCAAGCCCACTAAATGCTACACAGTCTAATGAATGGGGAAGTGCCGCAAACATCCCATAACTGCCTGCAATGCACTTGGTTGTGGTGCGATTACTGGCAAATATGGGGTTAAAACAGGCGGTGAGAAGGTGTTACATCGCCTGTTAGCCTCCGGAGCGAGATCCGAACATGAATCGGGCTTCAGAGACCAGGAGGATTTAGATGCATGTCTAAATATTCCATGGATACTGCATAAATGACTATTAAAATGAATTCAGCTGCACATCATTTAAGAGGTTTACACTGAAAACGAATATTGTTGTCTATTCTTGTCACTGTAAATTACCATGAACATCATAAAACGTCAACTTTATAGTTGAGGCCTCTTGGCTTTTAGCAGCCAACCAAGTTCCCCCTTTCCTGTTTGAGGACAGTATAGGACAGGGAATTATTGAATTCAAACTCACCAAGGTCCGGGCGGTAAAATTTTCATCCATTAAAGGTACAATTCTCATATAGTCCCCTGTGGTGCATTTTCGTGTGCACCAAACTGCGTGTTGCTGCAGTGCGATTTTGAAAAAAGGGTTGGGGACTTCTTCGTGTTTCTCGCGGGTAGTGCAGCCCATTAAAATGAATGGGCTGACCTACCCACGACATGTGCACCAGATGAGTGTCCTCCGCTCCCCCCTTTACATCCCCCCCCACCCCCTTTCACAGTTGTGTTCTCACACATCCTTGAGATCAACCTCCTCCCCCCCCCCCAAAAGTACTGTCTTCTACCCCCTTCACTGCAGATTACTCCACCCCTTTTTACATCACCCAAGTTACTTTCCTCAGTCCACCCACCCCCACTTGAATGTCCTCAGCTGCCCCTGCACTACTGCCCTCAGCCACCCCATATTACTGTCTTCAGTTCTTAGCCCCCCCCCCCCCCCCCAAGTTTAATGTCCTCAGCCCCCACACACCGCAGTGCTTAGCCCCCCACATTACTGACCTCCCCCCCCACACACACACACACATACTTTAATGCTCTCAGCCCCCCCCCCATTTCAATTCTCAGCTCCTCCACTTTAATTTTAATGTCCCCCACCCATCCTTCCCACACTACTGTCCTCGTCCCCCCAATATTACTGTTCTAAGCCCTCCCCACATTCAGTCCTCAGTCCCCCATATTCAGTCCTCGCCTCCTTTTTCGCATCAGCCCCCTTCACTCTAATATCCTTAGCCCCTTTAACTTTACAACCCATCCGCCCCCCCCCCCCCCTCAGGCAGCTCCTGCCCTCAATCCAGGACTGTCCTGCCTCCTGCTGTCAGCTCTGTGAAGATGACCGCGAGATGGCTGGGGGAAAAAAAGGCTCCTAAATGGCGGTACTGCATGGGCCAGATGGGATAGTGACTCAGTCCACCATTTATTGATGCCTGGTATAGGAGACAAGGTAGAATCTTATTGTTTGCTGCAAACAACAGAAACTCTTATTGCTCTTACGTGTTTATGTGTACAGCCTGTTATTTGATGTGCGCACAAAAGTAGATGTTAATCTATTCTTCTTCTTCTTCTTCTTTTTTTTTTGGCAGCATGAGAACATTCCTTTCAGAGATAAGAGCAATAACATACAAGTGGTGAGTTGTGCTGTTCTGTTTTGTAGATTTAAAAGGATCTCTCTTCCTTTCTTTGCCTCTCTCTCTCTTCTCTGTTTTTCAACCCCCTTCACTCGATCACTCACCCCCTTCTATCAAACACTTCCCCCTTCTCTCTCGCTTTTTCTTTTTTCTCTGTGCTCCCCCCCTCCCCCCCCACATCACTTGGTCACCCCCCCTTTCTCTCGATCACTCCCCCACCCCCCCTTTTCTCTCGATCACTCCCCCCCCCCCTCTTTTTCTCTCGATCGATAATTTTCCCCCCTTCCCCTCCCTATCTTCTCACTCTCCCTCCTGTTTCTGACACTCTCACTTTTCACAGCTCTGTACCATATTTCTTTATTTTGGAGCGCTTTTATATTAGGGTGGAGCACTTTACACCTTGATTGTGTCTTCTACATTTTCTAACATGTTTGCAGCTACAGCTATTTATAAACAGCATCTCCAATCAAAATTGAAAACTAATCCTTATAGTGAATGCAGGGTCCTGGGTTTAGTAACACTATCTGGTCTCCCCGGACCCTGCATTCACTATATCTGGTCTCCCCGGACCCTGCATTCACTATATCTGGTCTCCCGGACCCTGCATTCACTATATCTGGTCACCCCGGACCCTGCATTCACTATATCTGGTCTCCCCGGACTTTGCATTCACTATATCCGGTCTCCCCGGACCCTGCATTCACTATATCCGGTCTCCCCGGACCCTGCATTCACTGTATATCCGGTCTCCCCGGACCCTGCATTCACTATATCCGGTCTCCCCCGACCCTGCATTCACTATATCCGGTCTCCCCGGACCCTGCATTCACTGTATCCGGTCTCCCCGGACCCTGCATTCACTATATCCCTGGTCTCCCGGACCCTGCATTCACTGTATCCGGTCTCCCCGGACCCTGCATTCACTATATCTGGTCTCCCCGGACCCTGCATTCACTATATCTGGTCTCCCCGGACCCTGCATTCACTATATCTGGTCTCCCCGGACCCTGCATTCACTATATCTGGTCTCCCCGGACCCTGCATTCACTATATCTTTTCTCCCCGGACCCTGCATTCACTATATCTTTTCTCCCCCCGGACCCTGCATTCACTATATCTGGTCTCCCCGGACCCTGCATTCACTATATCTGGTCTCCCCGGACCCTGCATTCACTATATCTGGTCTCCCCGGACCCTGCATTCACTGTATCCGGGTCTCCCCGGACCCTGCATTCACTGTATCTGGTCTCCCCGGACCCCGCATTCACTGTATCTGGTCTCCCCGGACCCCGCATTCACCCCCGGACCCCGCATTCACTGTATCTGGTCTCCCCGGACCCCGCATTCACTGTATCTGGTCTCCCCGGACCCCGCATTCACTGTATCTGGTCTCCCCGGACCCCGCATTCACTGTATCTGGTCTCCCCGGACCCCGCATTCACTGTATCCGGTCTCCCCGGACCCCGCATTCACTGTATCTGGTCTCCCCGGACCCCGCATTCACTGTATCTGGTCTCCCCGGACCCCGCATTCACTGTATCTGGTCTCCCCCGGACCCCGCATTCACTGTATCTGGTCTCCCCGGACCCCGCATTCACTGTATCCGGTCTCCCCGGACCCCGCATTCACTGTATCCGGTCTCCCCGGACCCCGCATTCACTGTATCCGGTCTCCCCGGACCCCGCATTCACTGTATCTCCCCGGTCTCCCCCCGGACCCCGCATTCACTGTATCCGGTCTCCCCGGACCCCGCATTCACTGTATCCGGTCTCCCCGGACCCCGCATTCACTGTATCCGGTCTCCCCGGACCCCGCATTCACTGTATCCGGTCTCCCCGGACCCCGCATTCACTGTATCCGGTCTCCCCGGACCCCGCATTCACTGTATCCGTCTCCCCGGACCCCGCATCACTGTATCCGGTCTCCCCGGACCCCGCGTTCACTGTATCCGGTCTCCCCGGACCCCGCGTTCACTGTATCCGGTCTCCCCGGACCCCGCGTTCACTGTATCCGGTCTCCCCGGACCCCGCGTTCACTGTATCCGGTCTCCCCGGGCCCCGCGTTCACTGTATCCGGTCTCCCCGGGCCCCGCGTTCACTGTATCCGGTCTCCCCGGGCCCCGCGTTCACTGTATCCGGTCTCCCCGGACCCCGCGTTCACTGTATCCGGTCTCCCCGGACCCCGCGTTCACTGTATCCGGTCTCCCCGGACCCCGCGTTCACTGTATCCGGTCTCCCCGGACCCCGCGTTCACTGTATCCGGTCTCCCCGGACCCCGCGTTCACTGTATCCGGTCTCCCCGGACCCCCGTTCACTGTATCCGGTCTCCCCGGACCCGCGCGTTCACTGTATCCGGTCTCCCCGGACCCCGCGTTCACTGTATCCGGTCTCCCAGGACCCCGCGTTCACTGTATCCGGTCTCCCCGGACCCCGCGTTCACTATATTTGGTTTTCCCGGACCCTGTGTTCACTCTGTCTGCTCTCCCACAGTACAAACAACATGGAAATGCATTTATTTTAGTAAATATAAACTGCTAAATACCTTTTCTCATCAGCAGTTAGATCAGTCTTGTGACTTCTATCAGTGTCCAGCCGAGCACTGGTTAAAGCTTGTAGTAGGAGTTTTCATTCTGCTCTAGGAGGATGCAGAACCCTTGGCCTCTGGACAGTGCTGATTGGCCCTATGCTGATCACATGCACTCTCACAAGGAAAAAAAAAAACTCTCTAGCAATACACACCAAGCTGAGCATGTGCAGAGTGACTCCACACAATATTTCTTAGCAGGAGGTAAGGGGGGGGGCACTGGAAGGGGAGGATCAGAAAAGTCAGGATCAAACTGTGTTTTTACACAATGCAGAGGATTAACCCTTTAGGTTCCACAGTGAGTATAACAAGCATGCTTTACTGCATACAGTCAGGTCCATAAATATTGGGACATCGACACAATTCTAACATTTTGGCTCTATACACCACCACAATGGATTTGAAATGAAACGAACAAGATGTGCTTTAACTGCAGACTGTCCGCTTTAATTTTGAGGGTACTTACATCCAAATCAGGTGAACGGTGTAGGAATTATAACAGTTTGCATATGTGCCTCCCACTTGTTAAGGGACCAAAAGTAATGGGACAGAATAATAATCATAAATCAAACTTTCACTTTTTAATACTTGGTTGCAAATCCTTTGCAGTCAATAACAGCCTGAAGTCTGGAACGCATAGACATCACCAGACGCTGGGTTTCATCCCTGGTGATGCTCTGCCAGGCCTCTACTGCAACTGTCTTCAGTTCCTGCTTGTTCTTGGGGCATTTTCCCTTCAGTTTTGTCTTCAGCAAGTTAAATGCATGCTCAATCGGATTCAGGTCAGGTGATTGACTTGGCCATTGCATAACATTCCACTTCTTTCCCTTAAAAAACTCTTTGGTTGCTTTTGCAGTATGCTTTGGGTCATTGTCCATCTGCACTGTGAAGCGTCCAATGAGTTCTGAAGCATTTGGCTGAATATGAGCAGATAATATTGCCCAAAACACTTCAGAATTCATCCTGCTGCTTTTGTCAGCAATCACATCATCAATAAATACAAGAGAACCAGTTCCATTGGCAGCCATACATGCCCACGCCATGACACTACCACCACCATGCTTCACTGATGAGGTGGTATGCTTAGGATCATGAGCAGTTCCTTTCCTTCTCCATACTCTTCTCTTCCCATCACTCTGGTACAAGTTGATCTCGGTCTCATCTGTCCATAGGATGTTGTTCCAGAACTGTGAAGGCTTTTTTAGATGTCGTTTGGCAAACTCTAATCTGGCCTTTCTGTTTTTGAGGCTCACCAATGGTTTCCATCTTGTGGTGAACCCTCTGTACTCACTCTGGTGAAGTCTTCTCTTGATTATTGACTTTGACACACATACACCTACCTCCTGGAGAGTGTTCTTGATCTGGCCAACTGCTGTGAAGGGTGTTTTCTCACCAGGGAAAGAATTCCTCGGTCATCCACCACAGTTGTTTTCTGTGATCTTCCGGGTCTTTTGGTGTTGCTGAGCTCACCGGTGCGTTCCTTCTTTTTAAGAATGTTCCAAACAGTTGTTTTTGCCAAACCTAATGTTTTTGCTATCTCTCTGATGGGTTTGTTTTGTTTTTTCAGCCTAATGATGGCTTGCTTCACTGATAGTGACAGCTCTTTGGATCTCATCTGGAGAGTTGACAGCAACAGATTCCAAATGCAAATAGCACACTTGAAATGAACTCTGGACCTTTTTATCTGCTCATTGTAATTGGGATAATGAGGGAATAACACACACCTGGCCATGGAACAGCTGAGAAGCCAATTGTCCATTACTTTTGGTCCCTTAACAAGTGGGAGGCACATATGCAAACTGTTTGTAATTCCTACACCGTTCACCTGATTTGGATGTAAATACCCTCAAATTAAAGCAGACAGTCTGCAGTTAAAGCACATCTTGTTTGTTTCATTTCAAATCCATTGTGGTGGTGTATAGAGCCAAAAATGTTAGAATTGTGTCAATGTCCCAATATTTATGGACCTGACTGTATACAGACTGATTTTACTGCTGTGGGTTTAATAACACTTTAAGATGCAGACAGGAAGCAGAGCCAGCTATTGCTGTAGTGACCCAGCTACCCAGGTTCCTGCTGGTAGTCTGGTGATCAAGGATGAGCTCAGGCATGTTTGGATCCTAGACTGAACCCACCTGAGCTATCCCACCTAAAATATGTCACTGTACACAGGCAATCATAGGCAGCTGAGGCATTCCCCACCCTCAGGTGCTTATTATTTATTATTATTATTATTATACAGTATTTATAAAGCACCAATAGTTCACTCAGCGCTGTACATTACAATGGGAGACAGAACATGCGACAGTACAATAACAATACAATGTGATACACGAGGGGTTCGAGGGCCCTGCTCCTTGGCGCTTACAATCTGAGAGATGTATGATTGGCATTGTGCAATGACCGCTTCTAGGTGGGGGTCGCTTGGGTGGGTTCGGACTAGGATCCAAATACGCCTCCATTCTTCCCTACTGATGAGAGAAACACCTGGTTGTGATGCAGGGTAGATATTCCCAAACACACTCATTACAGGCTTCTTGAGGTCTCTTACATACAGAAAACCTGACACTGTGAAATAAAACTGGGAACCGGTCAAAATGAATTAACTGTACCAGCCATCTGATGGGTGACTGTAGGGAAAAAGATCTTCTAATTTTCATCTTCCCACCTCCAGCTTGCTGATTAGACAGTAAAGGAGTTGCTGTACACTCATGGGGTCATCCTTGTGCCCTCACCTCCTAAAACCAAGCTTCCATTGTTGGATTGACAGCTCTGCAATGCTTTGTCTTGGCTCACATTACTTACCCTCCCTCTTCTATTCTGATTATTAGGTCACATTTCAGGTACTTATGCTAGCAATATTTAAATTCATGGAATTATTTGTGTCATTTATATAATTCATGTATAGCTGGATTAAAGGGTGTTTTTCATTTAATTGCCTGGAATTCCTTTCTAAGTGTGATAAATGGATCTAAAAAAAGACTCTGTAATTGTGAGCTCATGTCATGCAGACTACTAAATATACTAAAAATATGTATTTTTGCCCATCCAGTTCTGAGACTTTCACAGTTCCGCCACACAGCACAACCATGTCTGGCAGGAGATCTGATTTTTTTTTTTTTTTTGTCTGCTGCAGTGTAAGCCCTCATGTACACTTGACATTTTGATAACGCTGGTTATGTTAGCTGTGTAAAGTCACATTAAAAACGTGTTTTTCATTTTGTTTTTTTTGTTTTTTAAGAGGCATTTTGCCGCAGTTAGCAGTGTTTTTCCGGTTTTTAACGGGTTTTTATTTTTAACCAAAAAAAGTCCAAAAACGCTGTTTTGCAGCGTTTTGCCGCGTTTTTCATCGTTTTTACAGCTAAAAAAACTCTCCTAGAAACCCACTAGTTCAGTGTTTTTTCTTCAGCCAAAAAACATCCCTGCGAAAAAACGTTGATTAGTCTATGTGTGTACGGACACACAGGATAACATGCTGGGGGGGTTTACTGGCTGTAGAAAAAAAAAGCAAAAAAAAAACAGCCGCTGTAAAAACTTCCCGTGTGCATGAGGGCTTGCACTTACAGGTCTTGTCTCTCCCCCAGCCTGTGATGGGACAGTGAATAGAGAAGCAACAAATTGATGAGCGCATCTCTTTAGTTACTCTGCTTGGCACATGAGCACTGCAGCGCAGCTGACTGGCTTCTTGTTTCTTTTTGGCCCAGTCTGCACAGGGACTGATGTCAAGTCAAAATACATTTAGCGATGCATTAAAGGAGAAGTACGGCCAAAGTTCTTTTGGCTGTACTAATGCGGATCACAGGAGTGCAGTTTGTTCTGTACTCCTGTGAGCTGTTTTCAGCTAACGTCACTCAGCTAGTCCAGGCTGGGGAAAGATCCCAACTTTAAAGTCGGGTTCCACCCCAGAGTCCGGAGCAGCACCTGGCTCAGCCCCTCAGTGAGCTGGCCGCTCCCTCCCCCTACACAGCCATGTGTTCTAGTGAGCACCGGGGGTGCAGAGCAGAGAGCCACAACTGACAGTCACCGCTCTCTGCTCACAGCGGAGGTGTGAACTCTGTGATCAGTGGTCATGTGATCGCTGAGTTCTCACACTTGGGGCCAGCGGGGGACAGATGCAGCATCCACCTAGGTAAGTATAATTTTTGGGGGGGGGGAAACTATTTTAATCCTTACTGAGCTACATTAATGTGTGACTTTTAAACCTGCCTTCGTTTACATTTTTAGTCCTGACTGACTGATTACTTTGACATGTAGCAGGCAGTGCTTCCCTGCCATGTGCCCTGGGCTCACCTACCCCTCAGCTAAATGCCCAGTGCCCATGAGGCCTTAAGCTTTTCCAGATTCAGAGCTGTCAAACCTTGCCTGCTTATCAGCTGTTACATTCAAGACATGTTGTGAATGACTGTCACAGTTGCTTGTGCTCTCAGCTGAACTGTAAAGCCATCAAATGGCTGGTGTCATAACTGATCACATGTGCAGCACCATGAAAAATGCAAATCAAATAGAAGCTAAGATGGCAGCTTCTTGACTGTAAATGATTTGTCTTTTTTGGTTTAAGAACGTTCACTCCTAGAAGGCTGTTATAAAGATTATTATAACTTTTTTTTAATTTTTTTTTTTTCAGGATTTCCTGTGGTATCCAGAGGTGAATGCGTCAATGAAGCAGTATTTCCTGTCTCTGAGCGAGGTGTGTATGTAGTCATTCCAGAAAGCCTGTTGCTAAAAATAAGGCTCTCAATAAGGTGTATCAAGACACAAAGAAAATGTAATATTGTTCCGCTTAGAAGTCCTTAGAGAGAAGAAAGAAAAGTAATGCAGCCACCACGTTTGTTCGCCTGGTGATCCTGCCAGTAACACACCTCCTATTCTAGGGTGACAACATTCACTCATCATACTGTATCAAGATAACCAAATAGGACTACAGGGACCCACCCCTCTGCTCTTCTTCACATAGAGGAGGGTGGTTCTGTAGTCCTCAGGGATAGCTGAGAACAGTGTAACTGATAAGTCGGCACAGGCAGAGAGTAAAGGAAGTTATCTCACACACATTTTTTTTAAATAATGTTTTTAATGAGATATATAGGCAAATATTGTCTAAATCCTATTCATCGTGTGTATTCTTCCTTGAATCATTGTATTTCTTCCAGATCTGTCCAGTAATCTAGTATGAGACTTTAGAGCTCCCTGTAATACCCATCACTGCTGCTCTCTCTTGTGCAAGTGGCTGGTCAGGTCCCCGCCCCTCCTGTAGTTTTCTGCAGGCAGCCTGTAGTGGGTGGAGCCTGATGGGCCCCTCCTACAACTCTGCTGTGTACAGCACAGTAATATCACTACTACTTTTGCAAAGTAATACCTGGGTTTGTAAAGACATTTAGTGCACAAAAGTAGATTATATCCTTTGTGGCAATTGAAGAGTATATTTAAATAAGAGTTCAGCTTTAGCAGACCAAAAGGGTAAAAAAATTAGGCATTCAGGAGTTCATTGTTTGGGGGGAATTGTTTTTTTTAACTCTTTCATGACCAGAAGTCATTGATGCCTAGATACCCCCCAGACCAAATTTAGCACCCTTCGGTATGTGTCAGTTAACTTGGCTCCAGCTCTGACTAATTTGCATACAGTGCTTCAATATTTAATTATTCAATAAAGATACAAAATTATGTCTTTCCTGCAGAGAAGATCCAGCCCACTCTCTCCTCATGCTGCTGTTGGCTTTCTTTTTTTCGTGCTGTCTGTGCCCTGTTAGGGAGATTCTGAGACTGGGTACATGCTTCAAGAGATAGTCATAGACTGGAGACCTATTGCTAGAAATCACTGTATAACAGGGCAATAGTGAAACACAGATAAGTGTCTGCAGGGACTCCAGGAGCCGGACAGAAAGTGCAAAAGGGCCACATGCGACCCCCGGATCCGCAGGTTGGGTGCCACAGTCTTAGGCAGTTGTTACTGGAACAGGTGTCTCCATCGGAAGTTTTCCCCTCTCTTCCTTTTCTAGTGATTGTGGTAAAATGTTTGAGTTTCCAATGACAGTGGCCACCAGGACAGAGAGGACGAATGTTCCCAGTGGGAAAGCAGATAGCGATAAAATCCCGGTGAGGGTTCTAACCTTCCATACTGTATCCAAAACTAGAAAACGGTTTGGCTTGTTCATGTGGGCATACTACAGCATACACCCATGTGACGTGCCGTGTTTGCCTGCACAAGATGCACAGGTCTTCCATACATCCAAATACAGTCAGTCCTATTCATGTCAATTAGGATGCAGCAGCTGTACTGACACAGATGCTGCAACCAATTTGACATCCGTGTAGGTGCGGGTTTGTGTCCCCAAACTCACACGGTCTGCATTCAGGAACACGCACCCACAGATGTCAATTTGGGAGCAGCGGCTGTGAGTGGGGCTGCCAGCACATGGATGCATGGAACACCTAGGTGTCCTGTGCAAGTAAACATGGCCCTTTGCATGGTTGTACATTTTAGCTGCAATCAAAATCTCCTGTAGACCTCAAAAGAGACCCATTTTGGCCTTCACATAACTAGTTCAGTAATTTTCCTCGGCTTCCTGTGTCATGAATGCTGATGCTAAAGTCTTGAAAAGATGGGAGCACCACACCAGCGTCCTTTAAAATATTTTCAGTTTGCACCAGCCAGCACGTTTCGGGAGCTCAGCACTACCCCTTCATCTGTGCTAAAAAATAGATAGCAGACCTATATAATGACTAACAATGGCCCTTTTTAGCCCTGATGAAGGGGGAATGCTGAGCCCCCGAAACATGTTGGCTGTTGCAAAGGGACTTTATAAGCTGGTGTGGTGCTCCCATCCCCCATCCCATCAAAGCTTTAATCATCTCCTCTGGGGATCCAGCAGGACCCCACAGTTGCTGGTGAGCATCCTCTAGGACTGCAAACCAGTCATTGAGTTATGAGGCATCTCCATAAGGTTCAGTGCTCCTCAATCACAAAGAATGATTGCCTGTGCTGGGAGAGTTTGGTGGTTCGGCAGTTTATTGTTTTCTGTCTTTACTTGCAGAGTACATCAAAGCCGGATGTGATCATAGCAGGAGCTGCCACGGTAAGCCATCTTTAATATCTCAGTTATCCAGATTGCTGAAGCAAAACCATAAAAAGTCCGCCCTTTCATTAAAGGAAATCCAGGTTTATCATAAATAGATGTGATGAGTCTGGCTTTCATCTCTGTAATCCTGTGCAGTGGTATTCACATCCGGTCATCAAAGTCCATTGAAGCGGAGATTGTAATTGATTGTTGGCAATAGATTTAACCCTTTGTCATTAACGGCCTAAACTTAACTCTTCCATTGAAGCCAGGATGCCCCAGTCCAGGTTTTGTAGTGTCAATAAGTATCAACTTGACAATAACCCTGAGGGGTATGTTTATAAACAAAGAGCTATTTGCCCTGTGAAACTGCATGTACATTCCTTCTGTGCGAATGGGGGCAAAATCAGAGAGGGAATCCCCTAATCATCCAGGGAGCAGCACCCACTTAATCGACTAGGGGAGCTCTGGTTGTGTTGGATCACCACTAACACCCCAGGATCCTTTGATGACCACCTACCCTTTAGAGGGAAGTCCCCCCCCCCATTACCTGGCTGTTCCTAAGATCATCTGGAATTACACTTTTATATGCGCATTTAAATTGCACGTCCGATGAGTGCACAATTCTTCTATAATCACTGCACAGACATCGGCTTACCAGGACATCAAGCACTTTAAGAGCACTATAGTCACCTTTGGACTGTTTATCATAATTTATGAACTTTTATTTATATCCTTTTTATGAGATATTTTATGATCATACTTATTTTAAGCTCTGCACTTTAATTATATTGTTTTTATTGAGGTTTTTCTTGGTTACCTTTGTGCTTAGCTGCTTTTACATTTTAGTGCGCTCACATACTCCTATTTTATATATCTTGGCAAAATCAAATGTTGGTAGGCTATTTTTCTCTCCAGATCGAATGTTATTCATTCATACAGAATAGCGGGAACCTGGAAAATACTGCATTATGGCCACTAGGTGAAGCTGATGATCATCAGAAATAAATACTTATTTACTATGATTGTCAGCTCCTTCTTCTAGTGGCTGTAGTCTAGTATATACAGGTGTACCTCGGTTTACGAATCTAATGCGTTCTCCGGGACGTTTCGTATTGTGAAAAATTCGTAAACGAAATACGGATTCCCATAGGAATGCATTGAAAACCAATTAATCCGTTCCGGAGGTCAGAATAAGAGTTTTAAAAAAAAGTTGCTGTCACTATAGGTCAGTGCCGGTTTTTAACCATTTGCCGCCCACCCTATGGCCGAATGGCGGGCGGCAAATGTCATCAGCGTTCCGGGTGGACGCCATATGGCGTCCTCCCCCACATGCGCAGATTGCGCTCCTGCTGAGCGGCACAGCGGCACGATCTGTCACCGGCCGTGTACCTCGGACACGGCCGGTGACCGATCTGAGTATCGGCCCTGTTGCCGGTACCATGTGACCTGCTGTGACCAATCATAGCAGGTCACATGACAGTTGTATACAATGGATGGCTTCATTAATGCCATCCATTGTATACTAGTGTCTAGCTGTGAATGGTCACAGCAGGTCACATGCACATGTCATGTGATTAGCTGTGGCGAAATCACAGCTAAGCACAAAAAAAAAAAAAAACCCTGAATGAATCGATGTCATTCAGGTAAATGCTTGCTTATAGCAAAGTAATTCTTTGCTATAAGCAAATTGTGTAAAAAATAAAAAAAATACTGATCACTTCCCCAAAGTAGTACAATGTTACTATGGTAACATTGTACTACTTTGGTCATAGTGAAATATGAAAAAAAAAATCTTAAAAAAAAAAGAAAAAAATGTAATAAAAAATAATAAAAAAAAAATATATTTTTTTTTTTCACACTGTCACCAGTCAGTTTCCCTGTTCACCGCCATGCCAGTTATATGATGACACTGTACTGCACTGGTGACAATATGTAAAAAAAAAATAGTGAAACTAATTTTTTTAATTTTTTCATTTTCCGAAAAATTCTGACAAAAAAAAATACAACTTAAAAAAACTCGCCATGTCTCTTATGAAGTACGTCGGACTGTCTACTCTGCAAAAAGGGGTCATTTGGGGGATATCTGTACTATTCTAACATTCTTGGACCTCAAGAAATTAGATTGGCTGTCAGTACTTCAGGATTGATCAATATTCAGATCTATACCATAGTTTGTGAACTCTATAACTTTCCTACAAACTAAAAAATACATCCTAATTTGGGTTATTTTCACCAAAGACATGTAGCAGAATACATCTCGGCCTAAATTTATGAAGAACAATTATTTACTTGTAAACTTTTATAACAGAAACAAAGAAAACTTTTTTTTTTTTTTTTTTTCAAACTTTTTGGTCTTTTTTTGTTAATTTAGCAAAAAATAAAAACCCCAGCGGTGATTAAATAGCACCAAAAGAAAGCTCTAGTTGTGTGAAGAAAATGATAAAATTTTAGTTTGGGTACAATGTTGTATGACCGCGCAATTGTCATTCAAAGTGTGAGAGCGCTGAAACCTGAAAACTGGCCTGGGCAGGAAGGTGTAAAATTGCCCGGTATTGAAATGGTTAAATGTAATTACCGGCTTTTTTTTTTTTTTTCTTTTTCTTCACTATAGCTCAGAGAATCAGCTGTCACTTCCCCCCCCAAAGAAAAGAATGTTTCCTTTTAGTTTCTTAAACAAAGTTTCCTTTAGGGGTGGAGGGGAAGGGGGTAGTGACAGCTAATTCTGTGAGCTATAATGAAGAAAAAAAAAAAAAAGCCGGCAATTGCATTTAAAAATCGGTACTGACATACACTTCGTATTGCGAAAAAAATTTGTAAACCGAGGCATTATTTTCAATGGAATTTCATTCGTAACCAAAAATTGCGTTAAACAAGGCGCTCGTAAACCGAGGTACACCCGTAGTGCAGTATTTTCCAGAACAACTCTGTTTTATAAATGAATAGCATTCAACCTGTTGAGGAAATAGGAGAACATTCAATTTTGCCCCCATTTGAACAGAACAGAAGTACATTCAGTTTTGCAGGTGAATAGCTCAGTTTTTTTTGTTTGTTTTTGTTTTTTTTTTTTTTTTTTTTTTTTTTGTTACATGCACCCCTAAGAGTACATTGCACATGTTGTGGTTTGTGGCAATGCACATGTTTTTTGCAGCTGTGGGTTTTTAAAGGCCAACTGAACTTTCAGTTTAAATCCACTAAACACATTCTAAGTGCATCAAAATAAAAGATGGGAAAAGTCTTAGGCCTTGTTCACACCATGCGTACAGAAAAACTGAGCGAAACAGACATGCAGATTTCACTTGCAGAGACATCCGTTTTCATGCGCACTCCAATGAGTTTTATACACGTTGCAGATTCCTGCACAGAACAATTCTGCACATGATACCAGTGTTGTGGTGGGAACTGTACACATGGAGAACAGTTGATTTAGTTGTGCCCTTGCAGAATACATCCAGAAAAACTGACGTCTCTGCACTGTGGTGTGAACAAGGCCTTACAGTTTGGAAAAGCAGCCAAAGCCTGTCCCCTGCCAGCATGCAGGGAAGGACCATTGCTCTCTGTGTGTAGAAGCAGTGGTCTCTCTGTAGAGATCCAACATGCCCTCTACTGAATCAATCGGCAAAGCTAGTGCCCTCTATTGATTCTAGACCTCAGGCTCAGAAGGGGTTATGTTGGGCCTCTGCAGAGAGACCGTTGCTTCCACACAGAGAGCAAGAATCTGGCTGTGCATGCTGGCAGGGGCAGGCTTTTCTACTCTGGGTGTAACTGCTTTTTAAAAAAAAAATAGAACTGTAAGACTTTGAATACACCTTGCTTTGATGCTCCTGGAATGTATTGACAGCTCAGATCAGACACAATGTACAAGTCCATCCAAATGGCTCTGTGTCTTGTGACCATTCACAACGAACACAAGTGTAAACCCTCTAGTGTTTACATCTAAAAGCCCTGCCCTTTGTCTTACAATGGAGGAAGGCGAGGAAATGGTTTTTATTAGACCCCTATGATTGAACATCAGCATTTCTGAACCTAATTTCATACAGTTTTTTTTTTTTTTTTTTTTTTTTTTTTTTTATGGGTATGCGAACTCACACATACAATACATTCCTATGCAAAATCCATTCATTTTATTGCTCATATGTGGCACAAAATCCTGACCAGGAACACAGATTTTTCTTTCTTTTTTTTTTTTTACTCAAGAATGCCCAGCTCTTCTTTATGCACCTGTGTGTACAAGCACATTGTAAACAATGGGTTGCACTTTGCGTCCACTTTTTCAAGCTGCTTTTCATGTGCAAGAGGCCTTTATAAAGGTTTATGAATGAAGGGATCAGTGGCAGAATTTCACCCCCTCCTTTCCTGTACATCTCACCTCCATCTGGTCTCTCTGTGACCTCTATATTAACTCCTTCACCTCCCTTATTTCTTCCATCCTCCAACTGTATATGAGCTGCATATTAACCCCTTCTCCTCCTCCTCCTCCTCCTCCTCCTCCTCCTCCTCCTCCTCCTCCTCCTCCTCCTCCTCCTTCCTCCTATCCTCCTCCTCCCTTTATGTATTCTTATTATACAGTATTTATATAGCGGCAAAGGGTATGCTCAGCGCTGTACAGTAGCAAGGGGGACAGAACATGAGACAAGACAGTAACAAAACAGTACACGAGGGGTTCAAGAGCCCTGCTCTTTCGAGCTTACAATCTAGGAGGGAGGGGCCTGCATGACCTGTACATTTAGGCCCCATTCACATATTGCATAGCAGGAATGAGCGTTCCAGCTCGCAGTTTATATTTCTCAATTTTCATGCGATTTTGTGTGTTGTGCATAGGCCATTCACTTCAATCAGCTGTCCTATGCACGTTTGTCATCCAAATGAAGCTCCTGCTCCATTTTTTGGCTACAAGCTTAGTTAATTTTTTGTGTAAACTCGGGTTTTCCTGTGATTGCCACATAACTATCGTGGCAAAAGCTCACCAAGTTTCGTGTGCTATTAAAAAAAAAAAAAAAGGAATGGCACCCAAATCCACGTTGCGTGTTCTGCCTCAATGTGGAATTACGCCAGTCCTGCCTGCGATGTCAAATCGCGGATATGAATGGGCCCTTAATGTATCTAGTGCACCATTATCAAGCTCCATGTTTTAACCCCCTCATTACTAGAAGGTTTCTTAATTTCCAAAAAAGTGCCAAAAAATTACATCACATTGGGGTTTCTACTTTTCAAAAAGGGGTCATTTGTGGGTTTTTGTTTTTTTTTTTTTTTTTTTGTACTTCGCTGGTCATTTTATTTGGTATGTTTTGTAAGGGAAAGTTTTTTTTTTTTTGGGGGGTTGGGTTTTTTTTTTTTCTATTTTATTCAAAATGGTGATATTTCCTTTTAATATAGTCTACAATTTTTTAAAAACCCAGTGCTTATTAAAGTGGTATTAAACTCAGATCTAAAAAAAAAAGGCTGACAGGTGGGGTATTATGACAGAAAAGACCCTAGTGGGCTCCACTGTCCTAATTGCTTCCCTCTACTTGTCAGATGTCATGTACACTGAACTGCGCATATGCGACTCAGAGTGCATTTATGGCAGCCGCTCTGTGCCATGATGATGTGACTCCTGTGCGCATGCGTGGGGGGGTGACCTCATCGTGACCCAGCCATTCAAGTGGTTGAACAGACGTAACACAGAAGGATCAGAGTGGATCTGTTAATCAGAGTAGACATTCTTACAGTCTGGAGATCACACTAATTGATATCAGTACTGACTGTACATCTGCCGAGTCCTAACATGTTTGTGTTTTTATATTTCAGTGGTCCATAAAAATCAACAACGGCAGTGCAGAGTCTCTTGCGCAGTACAAGGTGAACCTGACGGATATAGAACCCGTCCTAGGAAAGCTGTCTGACAGTAGTGATGTTTATTGGGTCTTACAAGGTATGGTAATGCATGTGTCATTTCAATACATTAAATATTGGATTGTGTTGTCTGTGATCTTTGGAAGAGACTCTGCCGCCAGAATATTCATTTCACCTACAACCTTTCTTTCTTGGATGTGATGTCAGCAGACTCTTGAAGCTGTCACTCGAATGAGTCTAGGGCAGGGATGGGCAACTGTGGCCCTCCAGCTGTTGGTAAACTACAATTCCCATCATACCTCTGCCTTTGGGAACCATGCTTGTAACTGTCAGTTTTGCAATGCCTCATGGGACTTGTAGTTCTATAACAGCTGGAGGGCCACAGTTGCCCACCCATGGTCTAGGGTGTTCCCTTTTCACTTATTTCTGGTCTGTGGCCCATTCACATGGCTGGGAGGCAGTAAAACAAGGTGGTTGAGCCACGGTTTTATGCCCCCACCCACCACACCCGGATTGCTTTTCAGAGGTTTTTGATAGGCCAGCAAACTCGCTTGACCTGAACCCCATAGAGGATCTATGGGGCATTGCCAAGAGAAAGATGAGAGACATGAGACCAAACAATGAAGCATCCTGGTCTTCCATAACAACTCAGCAGTGCCACAGGCTGATAGCTTCCATGCTACGCCGTATTGAGGCAGTAATTGCTGCAAAAGGGGCCCAAATCAAGTACTGAGTACATATGCATGCTTATACTTTTCGGAGGTCCGATATTGTTCTATGTACAATCCTTGTGGAAAGGAAAAAACACTGCAAGAAATGTTTAGAATACTTGATTTCACTGTGCTTTTATCTGCGTTTTTTCCAGTTGGTGACAGGGTCTCATTAACCCCTTCAAGCTGGTTCCCGGCAGCCCGATAAATAGACTTTAGCGCAAGGGACTGGAGTGGCTTCCCAAACACATGAGCACTGCGATTGGCTCTCAGTGTTCACATGGTTGGTAGCTTATCCCGCTGGCTCCTGATTTGAAGCCATTAGCTCCGTCTGTGTACTGGGAGCACGCAGTGAGTGCATTGTCAGCACACATCCTCAGACCACTGTTGGCGCATACGAGAGACAAATGGCCGCTAGGACCCACTTTCCCTGCCTCTGCACACTCTGTATGTGTTACATGAGCAGGAAGAGAATAAAGCTCATCTCTATCTTGTGTCAAGATACTCCCTTCATAGTGCTACAGTTCTCTTAGGCTAGGTTCACACTTCTGCGTGTCGGGAACGCTCAAAAAATTGCACACTTTCCCGACACACAAAGAAATGTGTTGTGATTTAGCACACATGCAAGGCTGCCATTAATTGTTAAATGGCACCCCACACACCTTGCAAATGCGCCATGTTTCTAAAAGCACCAAATCACGTCGGTGCACTTTTTTTGGAAATGGGTCTGGGTCTTTTTTTGTGTTTTTTGCATGCCGGGCAGGTCGTTGAAATGAATGGGCTGCCCTACATGTGACATGCCGGAACGCCATGAAAGTGCGGAAATGCACCCGCATTTGATCACACCTGTGAGGGTGAACGCCCCTTGTAATTGATCCTTGAGTTCGAAGAAGCCGATTGGAATCGTCATGTAAATGGAGCTCTGGCTAATCACACTGGCAGTGCCGTCTGGATACCAATATTATTTTATTATTATACAGTATTTATAAAGCGCCAATAGTTCGCTCAGCGCTGTACATTACAAAGGGAGACAGAACATGTGACAGAACAATACCAATACAATGCAAAACATGAGGGGATCGAGGGCCCTGCTCTTTCAAGCTTACAATCAGGACATTGCATGCTGGGTATCAGAGCAGCGCTGCACGTACAAACCCGTGCAGACACATAACCGCTGTCTTTGCTCCCTCCATACCAACATCGGCACTGGAGAGGGAGAGGTTGCTGCCACCATGTGTCTATGTAAAATGAAATCTTTAAGAATCTTTCAACAATATAAAGTAGCAGAAATGTCTGAGGGTAGGGTCGTGGAAATGGTCTGTTTCTTCATTTACAATTCTGGAGTTGGGCTTTAACTGTTGTGTGCTCTAACACTAACTTTAGTGTTTTTTTCCTTTACTACAATTTTGTGTTTCCTAGACCTTTGCGCTTATATTGTGTAAAATAAAAAATTTAAATCACCAATATTTTATTCTCCAGGTGTCTTCTTATAATGTTTGGAGGTTTAATGTAATCTTCCGGCCTAAAATAATTTTTTAAATCTGCAAAAAAAAAACACAACCGTCTGTTTCTTCCTTTATAATTCTGGAGTTTGGCTTTAACCGTTTTGCTGCCAGAGCTGTTTTTGTGGGGTTTTTTTTTTTTTTTTGCATGTTTAAAAAATGATTTTAGGCTTGAAGATTACATTAAACCCCCAAACATAAGACACCTGGAGAATAAAATATTGGTGATTTAAATTTTATATGTTACACAATATAAGCGCAAAGGTCTAGGAAACAGAAAATTTCAGTAAAAAAAAAACCCATTAAAGTTAGTGTTAGAGCACACAACACTAAATTACCCACTTTTTTGTAATCTGAGACCTGAGTGGCGAGAATGGACACCCCCCCCCTCTACAGAGTCTCATAGGGAAACCTGTACAGCTGAGGCTGTCCATCACAGGCTGTGTGCTGGAGCCCGTAACTCCCATCCCTTGGTGTTACCTGTCAGAAGTGACTCATTCAGACTTGGTAAAGGAAGAAGAGAGCGTTAAGAAATCACACTTGGTGCTTTGGATTGAGGCTTTGCTCATTTTTCATTTCATAGGTTTACAACCACTTTAAATATTGCTGACATCCTTTTGTCACTCCATGCTATAACATGGTTTTATTTTCTTCTTTTTTCCAGATCCAGTTAATGAACAGTTACTAAGTGAAAGTCGTAAAATCATTACCAATACGAGAATCGATGCGTATAATGAAGCTGCAGCAGCAATATTAAATGGTACCAATAGGAGATCAAGATCAAAAATCAAAATCTTCAGTGTCTCCCGACTGATCTCAGAGGAGACTACAGAGCAATCGATCGATGGATTGCATATCCCAGAGACCAGCAGAAATATAGTGAGTACCTGTCTGTACACAGCAGAAGGACCGCAGACTATCATCTATGTACAGCAAAGTTATAAAGAGTACCTGTCTGTACGTAACAGAAGGAAGGCATGCAATCACCTTTGTACAGCAGAGTTATAGTGAGTACCTGTCTGTACACAGCAGAAGGATCGCAGACCATCTATGTACAGCAAAATTATAACAAGAGCTGGGCTTTGTTCAGTAGGATTTGTCAATGTGAAGTGCAGATATAGTGAGAACCTTCTTATGTTCAGTAGGAAGATAGTGAGGACCTGTCTACATAAAGCAAAGATTTAGTAAGAAGGCTGCTCTTGTCAACAGTAGAATAGTTAGGCCTGTCTATGTACGTTAGAGCTGTAGTAAATCACTGTCTGAGATTAGCAAAAAGATTTTGAGAACCTGTCTTTGTATAGAAGAGTTCCAGCAAAAGAGTTCTAGAAAAATCTGGGGTATGGTCAGTAGAGAGTACTAGTGAGTTCCTGCCTAAAGAAGGCTAATGATGACTTGTCTACATACAACACATTTATATTAAGAGATCAGCAGTGTTCAGAAGAAGGATAGTGAGGACCTGTCTACCCATAATGGAAAGTGAATCCATGTCTGCGTTCAGTAGAGGAATGGTGAGGACCTGTCTCTGTACAATAGAGTTCTAATGAGTCCCTACCTGTGAGGACCTGTCTCTGTACAGTAGTTATAGTGAGTCCCTGCCTGTGTTCTGTAGAAGGATGGTGAGGACCTGTGTATGTACAGTAAATTATAGTGCATCTCTACCTGTGTTTAGTAGAAGGATGGTGAGGACCTGTCTCTGAACAGTAGAGTTATAGTGAGTTCCTGCTTGTGTTATGTAGAAGGATGTTGAGGACATGGCTATTTACAGTAGATTTATATTGAGTCCCTACCTGTATTCAGTAGAAGGATAGTAAGGACATATCTCTGTACAGTAGTGATTCCCTACCTGTGTTCAGTTGAAGGATAGTAAGGACATATCTCTGTACAGTAGTGATTCCCTACCTGTGTTCAGTAGAAGGATAGCAAGTGACCTGTCTCTGTACTGTAGAGTTGGTGAGTCCCTACCTGTGTTCTGTAGAAGGGTGGTGAGGACCTGTCTATGTACAAAATGTTATAGTGCATCTCTACCTTTGTTTAGTAGAGGGTTGGTGAGGACCTGTCTCTGTACAGTAGTTAATGAGTCCCTGTGTTCTGTAGAAGGATGTTGAGGACGTGTCTGTACAGTAGTTATAGTAGTCCCTGTCTTTGTTCAGTAGAAGGATGGTGAGGACCTGTCTCTGTACAATAGAGTTTCTGTCTCTGTACAGTAGGTTATAGTCCCCATCTGTGTTTAGTAAGATGGTGGGAGCCTTTGGCTAATCAGCTGATCCATGGCTCTGCACGCACACACCTGCCACCACCATTAAATAGTCTGCCATACCTTATAGATGAGAAAAGCTTTTGAAAGGTAAGTATCACAGCTGTGTTTCTGTTTGTTCATATAAGTTAGTGGCAAAAAGGGAGAAATGGGTTAAATTTAATTAGAGCAGTTATTAACCACTTGCCCTCCTGAGGATTTCCCCCCAATCCCCCCCCCCCCCCCCCCCTCTTCCTGACCAGGCCATTTTTTGCGATACGGCGCTGTGTCACTTTAATTGACAGTTGCGCGGTCATGTAACGCTGCACCCGAAAGAAATTTACGTCTTTTTCTTTCCCCACGAATTGAGCTTTCTTTTGGTGGTTTTTAATCACCTGTGCGTTTTGTTTTTTTTTTTTTTTTTTTTTTTTTTTTTTTTTTTGCGCAAAAACAAAAAAAAAGTGACAATTTCGAGGAAAAAAAAACATATTTTGGACGTTTTGCTATTAACCGCCTCCCACACGCCATATAAGGTATGACTATTACTATGATAACATTGTACTACTTTGGTCAAAGTGAAATATGAAAATCTTAAGAAAAAAAAAGAAAAAAAATGTAGTAAAAAATTTAAAAAGAATAAGAAAAATAAAAAAAAAAAATATTTTTTTTTTTTTTATACGGTCACCAGTCAGTGTCCCTGATCACCGCCATGCCAGTTATATGATGACGCTGTAATGCACTGGTGACAGTGTGTAAAAAAAAAAAAAAAAAAAAAATTGTGAAAATAATTTTTTTTAATTGTCCAAAAAATTATGACAAAAAAAAAATACAACTTCAAAAAACTCTCCATGCCTCTTATGAAGTACGTCAGACTGTCTACTTTGCAAAAAGGGGTAATTTGGGGGATATCTGTACTATTCTAACATTCCTGGACCTCAAGAAATTAGATTGGCTGTCAGTACTTCAGGATTGATCAATATTCAGATCTATACCATAGTTTGTGAACTCTATAACTTTCCTACAAACTAAAAAATGCATCCTAATTTGGGTTATTTTTACTAAAGACATGTAGCAGAATACATCTCGGCCTAAATTTATGAAGAACAATTATTTATTTGCAAACTTTTATAACAGAAACAAAGAAAAACGTGTTTTTTTTTTACATTTTCGGTCTTTTTTTGTTAATTTAGCAAAAAATAAAAACCCCAGCGGTGATTAAATACCACCAAAAGAAAGCTCTAGTTGTGTGAAGAAAATGCTAAAATTTTAGTTTGGGTACAATGTTGTATGACCACGCAATTGTCATTCAAAGTGTGAGAGCGCTGAAACCTGAAAACTGACCTGTACAGGAAGGGGGTAAAAGTGCCCGGTATGGAAATGGTTAATAGTATCTGATATTTTAACATTTGTTGCAATATTTTATTTTCATACACAGATACCTAAAGGAGCATATTTATAAAAGCTTGAAATATATATTTCACCTTTTTATGTCGTATAAGTATATGATTTTTTTTTTTAAATATTCGTAATTGAAACCACCCTAAACCTGCCATTAACCATTATTAGGCAGCAAATGGTGCTAAATTCTGCAATTAAAACAAGTACAATATAATCTAGCTGTCAGAGATGCGGGTGTGACCAGAAGTGTGTGGACTGACACAGGGAAACGTAGGCTTCAGATATAGACTAACAATACAAACATAAACGCAGTGCACCAAACCCCAAGCTAACACAAATACATAAAACAAGGTGAAACAAACCCAAACCTAAACTGATATAGATACACAGGTACATACACATATAGAGCACAACGTAGTCAGGCAGGCCGGGTCGATAACTATCGGGCAGGTAGGTACAGGAGGAGCAGGCGGAGAGAACGGTCAGGGTCACAAGCCAGGGATCAAACAGGAAAAGTCAGCAGAGGTCAGGATCAGGCAGGTCGGCAACAAGTCAGGCAGAAACAGGAACGCAGGTTACAAGATACAGGGGCCCATGGAAAAAACACACACCAAGGCCCTGACTGTGAGTCTGGCCATTCCTTAAATACAACCCCTGCAATCAGCTTCAGGTGTTTTGGCTGACTGCAGGGGTGAGTCTCTGATTGCTGAGAGCACCCGCTGGCCAGCCCTGGTACTGCAGCCCACAAGGCAGGTGAGTCCCACCGTTATTGGCAAGTCCATTCCTGACACTAGCTTTCTATGGAGACCACAAGGACTGTGACACGTGCTTTACCAAAGACTTCGAATAGATAATTATACAATGATTCTTTGTTCCAGAATGCCATGATCCTGATGAATGCCTACTGCAACAGGATAAAAAAAGCCCGTCGATGGCTCCTGCTGCCAGCCCACTCCCCCCCTCACCATCATACAGAAGTTGGCGGCTTGTTTCTTCACGCTGTCTATTGCGGCCTATGTGGCGATCACTGTCATCCAGCGGAGCAAGCATCGGAGAAGCAAGATGTGTACAGACATAGAGAGCGGGGAGGAGAAGAAGCCAGCTACAGCCACCCCTGCGGCCTCAACCCTAGAAGTTGCTCTGTTCTCCTTCTGCAAACTCGGCCTGATCATGGCTTACTTCTACTTCTGTGACCGAGCAAACCTGTACATGAAGGAGAACAAGTTTTATACCCACTCTTCCTTTTTCATCCCCATCATCTATATCCTCGTGCTGGGAGTTTTCTACAACGAAAGTACAAAAGAGGTATCACATGTGTGCTAGTGTTGTCAGGACATGGGTTGATGGGAGTCTGTGACTGCAAATTGAAGCCTCTGCTATGTAATAACTGGTATATCTGACGTAAGAAGTAAACCCAACTCAACGTCTAGTTTACACCAATTAAACACATTCCAGGTACATGAAAACAAAAGATGTCCAAAATCTCGTCATTTTATTTAAAGCAGCTGCAGCCAAGTAGGAAAAACTTGTCCACTGCCTGTATGCTGCAGAGTGGGACCCTTGCTCTCCGTGTAGAAGAGGTGGTCTTTACGCAGAGGTCTGGCACGCCCCCTGCTGGAAGTAGAGCTCTCCACTCGGGAGAGAGTATGAGCTTTGCTGATTGCAGATCTATAGGTATGATTCAGCAGGGTGTGTATTAGTAGACCAGAAGGGTGCAAATAACAGTTCAGTGTTAGTTTACATACACTTTAACCGCTTAGCGACCACCTCACGTACATTTTACTACGGCATGTGATCACGCCCGGGTAGGGCGTGCGCATGCCACCTCAGCTGTGCTGTGATTTGTTACAGCACAAGGCGATCAGCGGGTCCCGGCCAATGAATGGCCGCCAGGACCCACTGATCAGCTCTGTGATTCATGGAAGAGAGCTCTGTGTTGGTAAACAACTCAGAGCTCCGTACATTGACAGGCTATCTTTCTGTTTTTGTATTCCCTGCAAAGCAGGGAAATAAACAAAATCTGTTCGTAACAGCAGCACATATTACACATTGTTGGGCTCACCGGTAACCCCCTGATCGCCCCTAGATGTTAACCCCTTCCCAGCCAGTGTCATTAGTACAGTGACCGTGTGTAGCATTAGCACTGATCACTATATTAGTGTCACTATGAGTCATTTAGTGTACCCCCTCCTGCCAGTGTCAGCGTCAGATTGCCCGCCACGTTATCACAGTCCCACTATAAGTCGCTGATCACTGCTATTACTAGTATTAAAAAAAAATAAAATTTAAATTCCATTGTATATACCATGGTTTTTAGAGGCTATAACTTTCATGCAAACCAAATAATTTATACTTATTAGGCTTCATGCACACAGGACGTTAAAGAAACTCTCCTGACAGCAGCGTTTGTGCAGAAAAAAACGCCTGGAACTTGTAAAAGTATCGAATGCTTCTACAAGCGTTTAGGTGTGTGTACAAGCACTTGGGCAAAACTTCATTTCATTGGCCAGAATGATCATTTATTCTGGCAATTGAAATTAATTAATGCTCAAGCGCTAAACGTGCTTAGCGTATAGATCGATTAAGGCGCGTTTAGGCACGCCAAGTGTTTTTTCTGCCAAAACGCTACTGCTCCTGGATGCACTGGCACTGGGGTTTTTTTTTTTCCTGGCTGGTAAACGTTACTGCTACTAAAAGCTACTAAAAGTCTGTGTGCATGGACACATAGGATATATATTTTCTTGAATTCCTGAAGAAATTAGATTTTTTTTTTTTTCCTTTAACATTTTATTGGATATGGTTTGTAGCATTGTTAAAGTAAAAAAAATAACAGTTATTTTTTCATTTAAAATGTTTTCTTTTTTTGTTTATATAATAAGAAATAAAAAAACAGTGGTGATCAAATACACCAAAAAAAAGCTCTATTTGTGTGGAAGAAATGATATAAACTTAATTTGCACACGCTTTGCATGACCGTACAATTGTTAGAATTGTCAGTTAAAGCAGGGCAGTGCTGAATAGCAAAAAATTACCTGGTTATGAAGGGGGTAAAACCTCCTGGAGGGCAAGTGGTAGAGTCACACCAGGTGCGGTAGAACTGTTGAATGGCTATTCTAGCACAGTCCTTTTGCTTGACCAGGCAAAATGCTTTAAAGCGGAGTTCCACTCACGCTGTCAAAAAATAAGTCAGCAGCTACCAAAACTGTAGCTGCTGATTTTTAAAAGACAGCCACTTACCTGTCCCGTGGTGTGTCCCCCGCAGCCCGTTTCACCGGCCGTCCTGTATTCCAGGAGGCCGGCATCTTCAGTGTGGGCACCCAGCTGTGATAGCTTGCGGCTTCACAGCCGGATACCCACTGCACATGTGCGAGTAGTGCTGTGCTTCATGAATGGTCCTGTAGTCTTCTGGGACCTGTCACGTGTCCCAAAAGACTACAGGGAGGAAGGACACCTTCCGGTCGCCTAGGCGATCGGACCGGAAGTGGGAGCAGGTACCTGTCAAATTTGAGTGCCCGCTCCCCCTCGCCCCCAAAGGTGCCAATGCTTAATGGGGAACGGGGAGCAGTCCATAAAGTGGAACTTCCCCTTTTGGGTGGAGCTCCGCTTTAACTTCAGCTTGGCTGGTTCACGCCCACCGCCTTGTGGACCTTCAGCTACAGAGCTGGAGGAGTTATCAGTGGGCTACAAGTGTGTTGATGTCCTAGCTCTACAGTCCCTCTGCTGCAGTGACAGATGGGACTTGTAGTTTTTTCATTCACACAGACCTCCTTTGTGAATGAATGACGAGGCCGTGTTGGACATGGTCAGAAAGGTGGAAGTAGCTTTTAAAGTTGTGCAGGGAAAGCGTCATGTTTGTCCCAGAACAGAATAGTATGATTTAGTTGTTAGTTGTCGTTACACTTTAACAGACGGTTAGTGATCTCACACTGATTGATGGTCACTGGTGAGGACTGGCGTCGGCGTTAAACCGTCTCCTTTATTGAAGACATACAAGGTTCAAGAAGCAGGCAACGCCCGCCACCGCACCACTCCTCCGGGGTCATTGTTCTGTTTTTATGCTCTAACTGCAAGCCGAGTTCTTAGATTTCAAGTACTCTTGTAGGGGACTTTAGCAGATAATTTACTTTTATAACTTATTTAGTAAATGTAAACACTAAGTAAATACAATTTAGCGTGCTAAAGCACTGTGTATCAAGATAAATTGCCATTATTCAGCAGCACCAAGATGCAGTAATGCACCACAACAGTGGACCATGCCTGCACAATGTGTGTGGTGATTGGCTTTACATGTATGACCATACCTTAAAGTGGAACTATGTGAAAAATAAAAAAAAATTGCGTATATGATGCTTTCGTTCACTAGCAGTAACATGTTGGAGCTCCAGATAGCAGTAATACCCGGCAGAGGATCTAACCCTTTCCAACTCTTATCCAAAATATATAAAAAAAAAAAAACAACAATTTGGCTGTAGGAACACTTTATTCCTAATGACCCCCTCCCCATGCTAACTCATCTCTTAGATCAGTGATTGATGGGGTCCAGGGTCTTGCATCATGCCAGGAAAAACCTCCCTGCAGGCTTTACAGTAGACAGCTTTTACATTAGGCCTATGGAGAACTGTGGCACTCTGCACCCTGACGTTGCATTTTTCTGCTATCCAGCACCCCTGACACTGCACCTTTTCTGCCCCCCAGTACTCACACACTGCAACCCTGACACTGCACTTCGACAATCCAGATTCTGCACCTTTCTGCCGCCACAGCACTACTAACATGGCACCCCGACTGCAAACCTCCCTGCTTCCTAGCAACACTGCACCTTTTCTGCCCCCCAGTACTCACATACTGCACCTCTGACTGTGAACCTCCCTGCTTCCTAGCAACCCTGACACTGCACTTTGACAATTCAGATTCTGCACCTTTCTACCCCCACAGCACTACTAACATGGCACCCCAACTGTGAACCTCCCTGCTTCCTAGCAACCCTGACACTGCACTTCAACAATCCAGATTCTGCACCTTTCTTCCCCCACAGCACTACAGACATGCCACCCCAACTTTGATTCTCCCTGCTTCCTAGCAACCCTGACACAGCACCTCGACAATCCAGATTCGACAATCAGATTCTGCACCTTTCTGCTCCCACACCACTACTAACATGGCACCCCAACTGTGAACCTCCCTGCTTCCTAGCAACCCTGACACTGCACCTCCGACAATCCAGATTCAACAATCAGATTCTGCACCTTTCTGCCGCCACAGCACTACTAACACAGAACCCCAACTGTGAATCTTCCTACTTTCTAGCAACCCTGACACAGCACCCCCGACTGTGAACCTTCCTGCTTCCTAGCTCCCCAAAACCCCAGACACATCACCTTTTTGCCCCCCAGTACTAACTGCTGCACCCCTGACTGTGAACCTCCCTGCTTCCTAGCACCCCCAAAACTCCAGACACATCCACCTTTTTTCCTGCCTCCTAGAAACCCTGACACTGCACCCCAACAATCCAGAATCTGCATCTTCGTGCCCCCCATCATCACTAACCTCCATGCTTTCTAGCAACCCTTACTGCACTGCAACCATCCAGATTTTGCACCTTTCTTCCCCCTAACACTACCAACTCTGCACCCTCCAGCACCTCTGACATAGTACCCTGACTGTGAGCCTTCCTGCTTCCTAGCAACCCTGACTCTGCACCCCGACAAACCTTTCTGCCAGCCAGCATCATTAACACTGTTCCCCCACAGCACCCCTGACATGGCACCCCCGACTGTGAACCTCCCTATTTCCTAGCACCCCAAAACCCCAGACACAACACCTTCCCCCCCCCCCCCCCCCCCCCAGTACTCCTAACTGTACCCTTGACTATGAACCTCCCTGCTTTCTAGCACCCCAAAACCCCAGACACATCACCTTTTTTCCCCCCAATACTCCTAACACTGCACCTCTGACTGTGAACTGCTTTCTAGCAACCTTTACACTGCACCCCAACCATCCAGCATTTGCACCTTTCTGCCCTCTAGCACTACTAACACTGAAACCCCCAGCACCTCTGACATGGTACCCTGACTGTGAGCCTTCCTACTTCCCTACCCCAGCAATCCTGATTCTGCACCTTTCTGCCCCCCCAGCACCATTATCAGTGCACCCGGCAGTCCAGATACTGCACCTTTCTACCACCCAGTACTCTGCACCTCGAACTATGAACCTCCCTGACACTGCACCTGACAATCCAGATACTGCACCTTTCTACCACCCAAAACCATTAAAACTGAGCCCCAACATGGCAAAGAACTTAACCAAGGTCTACTGCATTCAGAATTAAAGCCGGAGTTCTACTTTAATCTCAATGTGTATGTGAGCTGTTCCTATCGCTAACAATGACGGTTGTGTCGTTGCAGACGAAGCTACTGAACAGAGAACAGACCGATGAGTGGAAGGGTTGGATGCAGCTTGTGATCCTCATCTACCATATCTCCGGAGCCAGCTCTGTAAGTATGATCAGCTGTGACGTCATTAGGCGCACTAGTGGCCACCACCAATACCTTAATGCAGAACTCCTGGGGAAAAAAATGTTTTTCCCCATGCAGTGGGCTGTTCCTGCACTGCATGGGTTAACTGCTTGTTTAGTCTAGGGGTGCCCACAGAGCCTATACTCACCTGATGCTTCCGAAAACCGCGCACCCCCCACGTCCAGTGGTGTTCCTGCCGCCCTTACGTCCAGAGCCAGTCTATGGGCGTCATGACGTCAGGAACATTCCATCGCACAAGACTGCTAGAGTGCGCAGGAGCAGTAGGAACTGATTTTGCACTGGAAGGATCGGAGGATTAGGTGAGTATATCACGGCTCTCTTCTCTCCCCTAGACAAGAACGAGCAGTTAACTCTTGCAGTGTGGACACAGCCCCACTGCATAGGGGGGAAAATATTCCCGGAGTTCTGCTTTAAGGCAGTATTATAATCAAAACCAAAAATATGTTGCAGCTTACCAATCATTAGATGTGGTGGCTGCATTAGTTGTTTTTTTTTTTTTTAGCCTTTCACTTGTTGATCTGGCCAGTAACACACCTCCTTTATTAGAGTGCCCTCACTCTGGATGAAGGAGCACAAGAGGCACAGCAGCATTGCCAGCCTAGGGGGAGGAGAGAGATGTAATAGCAGATTTAAATACACTAACAAATTGAAGCCAAATGCCAGCTCACACTTTATAATCAGTTTTTTTTGGGGATAAAGGTTTTACATAAATAAAAGCTGATTACTGTAAGCACCCCTGCCAGTGGTAAATGGCTGGTCCCATCCATGTAACTACAAGAGAACTTGTTCTTTTGGAAAACAGACCTGCTGGCCAGATGACCAGATGAAAATAGAAGAAAGCCTAAAAAAGAAAACTAATGCAGCCATCACATCTATGAATCGGTAATCTGCAATATACTAAATGTTTGCTTTTGGGGTTATTACCACTTTAAAGAGGGGCCGTCACCAAACTAAAAAAAATGTAACCTAACATTGAGATGTAGTTGTTAAAATGTAACCTCCAGTCTTCCCTTCAGTCTTGCACAGTACAGCCTCCTCTCCTGGACTGAAATGGCTTACTCTGATTTCACTGCACACTGTGAGCTTCTCACCATGTGCATTAGAGGCAAGTCAGATAAAGCCCACCTTGATGTCCAGCATCATCTACCACTTTCCTCCCCATCCTGACCCTGGCTCTTTCAATTCATTGGACTTCAGTTCTTTCAGTCATGGAGGCTCACCATCACATGTGGGTGTTACTAAGGATGGTCTGCATGCAAATACAGCCTGCCTAAGAACGCCCACTCCTCCAGACTGACAGCCATCCATCAAGATCAGGGGCGGGCTGACCATTTGGAAACTCGGGAACTGCCCGGGGTCAGTAGGGGGCCCCATGAGATGCCCCTGGTACCTTTTTCATAGGCTTTTTTGAGTTTGGGCAAGGACGCAGGGGCCCCATAATCCCCTATTGCCCGGGGTCCCCATGAGTTGTCAGTCCGCCCCTGATCAAGATGTTTTGATATTTTCATAACTTCCCCCAAAAGCCTTCCCACAACTTACATCAAGGCTGAGGCCTCTGCAGAGGAGTACTGAGGCAGGGTGCTGGGATGTTTTTAGGAAGCTGTGTACAGCACTTTGCTGGCCCCTTCCACCAGCCATGATCTACCTGCATCACATTTTATTTTATTTATTTATTTCAGGTACTTCTATAGAGCCATCAATTTACACAGCGCTTTACATATATATTGTACATTCACATCAGTCCCTAACCCTCAAGGGTCGTACATTCTAAGGTCCCTAATTCACATTCATACATACACATACTAGGGACAATTTAGACAGGAGCCAATTAACCTACCAGCATGTCTTTGGAGTGTGGGAGGAAACCAGAGTATCTGGAGGAATCCCACGCAGGCACAGGGAGAACATGCAAACTCCAGGCTGGTGGTGCCGTGGTTGGGATTCGAACCAACGACCATAGTACTGCCAGGCGGAAGTGCTAACCATTTAGCCACTGAGCTGTTCATAGAGAAGCACAGAGACGCAGAGATAATTTCACTGGATCTGAAAAAAATTTGTGTAATAAAAATGGAAAGGTTGTAGTTTAAAAAATAAAGGAGTATTTAGTAGCAGAAGCAGTAGAACTTTAGCTTTAAGCCTGATAAAGGATGTTCTGATTCTGTCATTATTTGTCCTCTACATTTAGATATTCTGTCCCTTTATCTTCCCTCCAGTTTTTACCAGTGTACATGCATGTCCGGGTCCTGGTCGCTGCTTATTTGTTTCAGACGGGCTATGGGCACTTCTCCTACTTCTGGCTAAAGGGGGACTTTGGACTCTACCGTGTTGCTCAGGTATGTGCCGAGCCTAAAGAGGAGCTCTAAAATAAAGGGCAACAGAATTCTGTGTGCCTCAGGTACTCAGGTCTTTTAAAGTGATATTTTTTTTTTTATTGGTTTAAAAATAAACATGTCACACTTACCTACTCTGTGTAATGGTTTTGCATAGAGCAGCCCCGATCCTCCTGTTCTCAGGTCCCTCGCTGGCGCCTCTGACCCCTCCTTCTGTGTATTGCCCCCATAGCAAGCAGATTGCTATGGGGGCACCCGAGCAGACTCGCTCCTGAGCCACTGCTCTGTGTATCCATTCACACATGGAGCACAGCACAGTACCACCCCTTTCTCTCCTCAATGGCCCACTGGCTGTGATTAACAGTAGTGGGAGACAATGGCTACTGCTGTCTCAGCCAATGAGGAAGAGACTCGGGAGAGCCGCTGTTTGGGATCAGGCTCAGGTAAGTTTTAGGGAGGGCTGCTGCACACAGAATGTTTGTTTTTGTTTTTTTACATTCATGCATAAAGGTAAAAAGCGTTGAACCTTTAAAACCACTTTAACCACTTGCTGTCATGATCTGACTCTTCTGGGTAGGGGGTGTGCGCCCAGTGCCCCGGCTGTGTTGTGATTGGTCACAGCACAAGTCAATCAGCGGGTCCCGGCCAGTGATTGCAAGCCGAGACCCGCTGATCAGTGAAGAGGAAGACAGGACAGAGCTTTGTGAATGTAAACAACACAGAGCTCTGTCCTGTCAGCGGAGATGTGCTGGTTTTTGTTTACCTGCAAAGCCAGGAGTCAAAACCGGCACATCTCTGAGCAAAAACAGTGAATGCACCAAGCACTGTTAGATACACACATTAACCCTTTGATTGCCCCAGATGTTAACCGCTTCCCAGCCAGTTTTATTAGTACAGCATCGGTGTATATCATTAGCACTAATCCCTGAATTAGTGTTACTGGAAATGTCAGTGCCAGTTAGTTCCCAAAAAGTGTCAGTGTCAGTTTGCCCGCCGTGCTGTCACAGTCCCACTATACGTCGCTGATCACTGCCATTACTAGTATGAAAGTAAATAAAAAATTCAGTTTCTATACCACAGTTTGTAGACGCCATGATTGTCACGCAAACCGACTAATATACACTTTATTAGGATTTTTTTTTTTTACCAAAAATATGTAGCAGAATACATTTTGGTCTAAATTTATGAAAAAATTAGATTTTTGTTTTTTTTTCTTTTTATTGGATGTGTTCTATAGCAGAAATTAGGGGGGGGAAAAGTGTGTGTAAAAATGTATTTATTTTTTAATTTGTGTTAAAATTGATTGTAAATTTCATCTGTGTACAGTGTTGCAATTGTTAAAATAACGCAGTGCCAAATGGCAAAAAAATTCGCCTGGTCATGAAGGGGGTTAAATCTTCCAGAGGGCAAGTGGTTCAACTCTGCTGCATGCAAAGAATATTTTCATCCAATATTTTGTATAAAATAAGTGTTTTGTATAAATCTTGCCGGGCACAGAAGGTTCAGGATGATGGGTTTGTTACCACCTCAGATTCCAGTGCATGCAGTGATGGTTGTGCAGTCCTTTCACATTCCAATATGTCTCCATACAGGTCCTGTTCCGCCTCAACTTCCTGGTGGTGGTCCTCTGTATAGTGATGGACCGGCCATACCAGTTCTACTATTTTGTTCCTCTCGTCACCTTCTGGTTCATGGTGATTTACGCGTCAATGGCACTGTGGCCACAGATCACCCAAAAGAAGGCAAACGGTAATATTTAAATCTGATCATCATTATAAACTTACTTCTACATCATGTAAATTAGAGTCTAGTTACTGCATGTAGGGGCCTGGGCTGAGATGCTGAGTCACTGCTGGGAGGGGTGAGCTGAGCTGCTGAGTCACTGCTTGGAGGGGCTGAGCTGCTGAGTAACACATTGAGGTTGGGAGGGGGGAACTGGACTGCAAAGTCACTGCTTGGAGAAGGTAGGGAGCTTAGCTGCTGAGTCACTGCTGGGAGAGAAGAGCTGAGCTGCTGAGTCACTGCTGGGAGAGGGGAGCTGAGCTGCTGAGTCACTGCTGGGAGAGGGGAGCTGGCTGCTGAGTCACTGCCGGGAGGGGGGGAGCTGGGCTGCTGAGTCACTGCTGGGAGGGGGGGAGCTGGGCTACTGAGTCACTGCCGGGAGGGGGGGAGCTGAGCTGCTGAGTCACTGCCGGGAGGGGGGGAGCTGAGCTGCTGAGTCACTGCCGGGAGGGGGGGAGCTGAGCTGCTGAGTCACTGCCGGGAGGGGGGGAGCTGAGCTGCTGAGTCACTGCTGGGAGGGGCTGAGCTGCTGAGTAACACATTGAGGTTGGGAGGGGGGAACTGGACTGCAAAGTCACTGCTTGGAGAAGGTAGGGAGCTTAGCTGCTGAGTCACTGCTGGGAGAGAAGAGCTGAGCTGCTGAGTCACTGCTGGGAGAGGGGAGCTGAGCTGCTGAGTCACTGGTGGGAGAGGGGAGCTGGGCTGCCGAGTCACTAGTGGGAGAGGGGAGCTGGGCTGCTGAGTCACTGCTGGGAGAGAAGAGCTGAGCTGCCGAGTCACTGCTGGGAGAGAAGAGCTGAGCTGCTGAGTCACTGCTGGGAGAGAAGAGCTGAGCTGCTGAGTCACTGCTGGGAGAGAAGAGCTGAGCTGCTGAGTCACTGCTGGGAGAGGGGAGCTGAGCTGCTGAGTCACTGCTGGGAGAGAAGAGCTGACTGCTGAGTCACTGCTGGGAGAGGGGAGCTGGGCTGCTGAGTCACTGCTGGGAGAGAGAGCTGCCGCTGAGTCAGGGGGGGGAGGGAGCTGGGCTGCTGAGTCACTGCCAGGAGGGGGGGGAGCTGAGCTGCTGAGTCTGCTGAGTCACTGCCGGGGTGGGGGGGGGAGCTGAGCTTCTGAGTCACTGCCGGGAGGGGGGGAGCTGAGCTTCTGAGTCACTGCCGGGAGGGGGGGAGCTGAGCTGCTGAGTCACTGCCGGGAGGGGGGGAGCTGAGCTGCTGAGTCACTGCCGGGAGGGGGGGAGCTGAGCTGCTGAGTCACTGCCGGGAGCTGAGCTGCTGAGTCACTGCTTGGAGGGGCTGAGCTACTGAGTAACACGTTGAGGTTGGGAGGGGGGAACTGGACTGCAAAGTCACTGCTTGGAGAAGGTAGGAAATCTAAGAAGACATAGGCTGATGTATGTTCTTCCTATTACAAAAATATCAATTTTGGGTTAATTAATGTTTATATTTTATGAAGCTAGGAAATGTTCATGCCTATGATTAAATATTGTTTTGTTTTTTTTTTTCTTTGCAGCAAACTACCTGTGGCATGTTGGCCTCATGTTAAAGCTTGGTTTCCTGCTGCTATGTATATATTTTCTGTCATGCTCTCAGGTATGGAGACCTGCTGACATCTAATTAAAGAGGACCTGACCCCTTACAATTTATCACTTCATCCCTCCCCCCTCCATCACTTGTAAAGTAACTTGTAATGTTTAACATGGTGCAAGGTGTGTGTGTGTGTATATATATATATATATATATATATATATATATATATATATATAAATAAAAGCAAATTTGATTGAATTTCTTAATTTTCCCAAAAAAATCACAATTTCAAAAAACTCGCAATGCGTCTTACTAAATACCTTTTGACTGTCTACTTTGGGGGTTATTTACTGTCCTGGCGTTTTAGGGCCTTAAAGTGCTTCTAAAGGCTCAAGGTTTTTTACTTTCTTGCATTCTTAGCATAAAGGTAAAAAACCATCTGTGTGCAACAATCACAGCCAGTCAGCCAATAATAGGGGCAAGGCCAAGCCACGGTTCCGTTTGTGAATAGACACACGGAGCAGCGGATACCCCCATAGCAAGCTGCTTGCTGTGCAGGCACCCGACAGGAGGGAGGGGCCAGGGGACCCGAGAAGAGGAGGATCCAGGCTGCTCTGTGCAAAAAAAAAAAAAAGCGATCACTGCAATTGTGAGAACTTAAAGTCCATCTGCTTCAGTGGCAGATGAGACTGGTAGTTCAATTATTCACAGATGTCTGTGAATGAATGATGCAGCAGTGCAAACGGAGCCCCACACAGTCATGCAAATTTCAAAAGTGACAGCGGCTGTGGGGAGAACAACACCCACATAATGTCTTAAATATGGGTGTAACATAGTGCAAAAGGTGGAGTTGGTCTTTAATGAGTACCTGTGATCAGCACTGTGCTCAGGTGGGAGATAGGAGAGCCTTGCAGCCTGACACATCCGTTGTAACCGGGAGAGACTACAGATTAATAAAATCCCAGTAATCTCTAAGAGGTAAGGCTGCACTAATATTTATAGACTGGAGATTGAGATTATTATAGGTGGCCTTGGTGACTAGTTCACCTTAAAGGCCTGCTCGTGCAGGTAAGGGGTGTAAGTAGATGAAAACAAACTGTGTAGCTTTGAATAAAGCTGAATAATTCTCTTGCTTTTAGGTCTAGACCATTTACATGCTTCCTGAAATATCGGAATACTCCCAGGGCATTGCTATGATGTTGCTAAGTGGGGCCTAGTCATTGCTGCCTCCTCCATCACAGAACAGAGCTCTTTCTCTGATTCCAACCCCCTCACCTGCTCATTCTTTCCACTAATGCAGTAGCTCTGAGCTCAGCATTTGAGAGCTTACTCCTGTGATGGTGGAGGGGAACAAGAACGACCAGGCCTCACTTGGCAACATCCTAGCAGCGTCCTGTGAGGTTTTCTGTCAGGCTTCATGAGATACGTAAATTGCCTACACCTATATCAAGGGCTTTAGTCAGAGCTGCACAGTTTGTTTTTATTATGTATATATTTTGTATATTATGTTTATAATAATGGATCTGTTGAAGGTTGACTGCATTTGAAAAGCATTGTGACATCCAAAATCTATTTAGAGCCATGTAAAAAAAATCAATAACTAGAGATGAATAATGTTCTCAGAGTTTCTCCTCAGAAATCATAAAATCATTTATTATATTAGCGTGTTTTTTGTGCTTTTCAGGGTTCTTTCGAGAATATATTCTCCCTCTGGCCAATTTCTAAACTGTTTGATCTGAACGGCAACGTCTACGAATGGTGGTTTAGATGGTCATTAGATCGATATGTAAGTCTTTCCTCATTATCTTACCTTTTTTTGTTAATGTTTCTTTCGTCTTTTAAAGCCAAATACCAGAAATTCAGCAGCTTTGCAAAGAAATGTAGGCACACTGTGAGCTGAGTCCAATGAGGTGCATGTCACTTTCTGGAGTTATCTCTATTAGTTATATGTGACAGGTTTATTACACTCCATAGGGATACACATACCAGGCTGTGAGAGAGGAAAGAAGCACACACAGCAGCTATGCCCATCCCTCCCCTCTGCTGCCCATTCACAAAAGCCTTTGTTTTTTGTGAATGAATTCACATAATACAAAGGCTTCTGTCAATGGGCAGAAGGCGGGGAGGGACAGGCATGGCAGTTCCCACAACTCTGCTCTTGAACGATCTGAGACCCGCAGTGCTGGAGCTCAGGAAGTTATCTTCCTGGGGAACACCACGCCAGTCATATGTGAATAATAGAGATGTCTATAGGTGGCAGACACCTCATTAGACTTAATGAGTGGTATGCATGCAGTTTTTACTGGAATTCGGCTTTAATAAATTTCTGCAGTTTATAGTCTGACGGTTTAGATTCAGTTATAGCCTGCCCACGCACTGTGTGTAGAAAAAAAATGGCTTTTGGGAAATGTAATTCAGGGGGATTGCCTACATCTATAGGAAATAGCCTTTCAGCTGCCCCTCCCAATCTCGTAATGCATTTACAGGTCTGGTAATGTCAGAGGGTAAAAAGAAAATGGTGTGACATGATCTAGAGCAGCTTTTCTCAACCAGGGTTCCTCCAGAGGTTTCTAGAGGTTCTGAGCAACAAGCAACTTCTACCTCTGAGATGCGCAACCACTGACACCATTGATCCTTTTAGTGATCTGTAAGGGGGAGGATTCTTCCCAGTGACCACAAGTGTACGGAACATTCTTCCCAGTGACCACAAGTGTACGGAACATTCTTCCCAGTGACCACAAGTGTACGGAACATTCTTCCCAGTGGCCGCAAGTGTACGGAACATTCTTCCCAGTGGCCGCAAGTGTACGGAACATTCTTCCCAGTGGCCGCAAGTGTACGGAACATTCTTCCCAGTGGCCACAAGTGTACGGAACATTCTTCCCAGTGGCCACAAGTGTACGGAGCATTCTTCCCAGTGACCACAAGTGTACGGAGCATTCTTCCCAGTGACCACAAGTGTACGGAGCATTCTTCCCAGTGACCACAAGTGTACGGAGCATTCTTCCCAGTGGCCTCAAGTGTACGGAGCATTCTTCCCAGTGACCACAAGTGTACGGAGCATTCTTCCCAGTGGCCACAAGTGTCTTCCCAGTGGCCACAAGTGTATGGAACATTCTTCCCAGTGGCCACAAGTGTATGGAACATTCTTCCCAGTGGCCACAAGTTTATGGAACATTCTTCCCAGTGGCCACAAGTTTACGGAACATTCTTCCCAGTGGCCACAAGTGTACGGAACATTCTTCCCAGTGGCCACAAGTGTACGGAACATTCTTCCCAGTGGCCACAAGTGTACGGAACATTCTTCCCAGTGGCCACAAGTGTACGGAACATTCTTCCCAGTGGCACAAAGTATACGGGACATTCTTCCCAGTGGCCACAAGTGTACGGAACATTCTTCCCAGTGGCCACAAGTGTACGGGACATTCTTCCCAGTGGCCTCAAGTGTACGGAACATTCTTCCCAGTGACCACAAGTGTGTACGGAACATTCTTCCCAGTGACCACAAGTGTACGGAACATTCTTCCCAGTGACCACAAGTGTACGGAACATTCTTCCCAGTGACCACAAGTGTACGGAGCATTCTTCCCAGTGACCACAAGTGTACGGAGCATTCTTCCCAGTGACCACAAGTGTACGGAGCATTCTTCCCAGTGACCACAAGTGTACGGAGCATTCTTCCCAGTGACCACAAGTGTACGGAGCATTCTTCCCAGTGACCACAAGTGTACGGAGCATTCTTCCCAGTGACCACAAGTGTACGGAGCATTCTTCCCAGTGACCACAAGTGTACGGAGCATTCTTCCCAGTGACCACAAGTGTACGGAGCATTCTTCCCAGTGACCACAAGTGTACGGAGCATTCTTCCCAGTGACCACAAGTGTACGGAGCATTCTTCCCAGTGACCACAAGTGTACGGAGCATTCTTCCCAGTGGCCACAAGTGTCTTCCCAGTGGCACAAGTGTACGGGACATTCTTCCCAGTGGCCTCAAGTGTACGGAACATTCTTCCCAGTGGCCACAAGTGTACGGAACATTCTTCCCAGTGGCCACAAGTGTATGGAACATTCTTCCCAGTGGCCACAAGTGTATGGAACATTCTTCCCAGTGGCCACAAGTGTATGGAACATTCTTCCCAGTGGCCACAAGTGTACGGAGCATTCTTCCCAGTGGCTACAAGTGTACGGAGCATTCTTCCCAGTGGCCACAAGTGTACGGGACATTCTTCCCAGTGACCACAAGTGTACGGGACATTCTTCCCAGTGACCACAAGTGTACGGAACATTCTTCCCAGTGACCACAAGTGTACGAAACATCCTTCCCAGTGGCCATCCCACTAATGTACAATGAATTGTAGATATAATAAGGATTAGCAAGGGTTCCCAGATCCTGGAACGCTGTTTCAAGGCTTCCTCCATGTAAAAATAGTTGAAAAAGGCTGATCTAGAGCAGCTTTTCTCAACCAGGGTGCCTTGAGGTTTCTTCAGGGGTGCCTTGGCAAAATGTCCAAACATTGCTCAAAACTTGTATATAAGTCAGCGGGTGTAACAAGCCTGCCATTTAGTTACACAAAGCCAGAGGTTTGCACCATTACGACCTTCTAGCCGCAGGCGTCCTGACAGCCTATGACCTCATCAATTGATAAGGAGGTTTTCAGCCGCCTGCACAGCATCCTAGTTTGACCCTCCCCCGCTCCTCGCCATCAGTGCTGGGGTCACATTAGCTCAGTGATGGAGAAAAACTGAGGAAGGGAAACATGGGAATACTAGTCAGTACCAGTGTGCAGAAGTGTATTTGCTTTTGGAAGAATAAATCACCTCTTGTGTTGGGTGTCCTACATGTGTGGATGTTGCTGCGTTTATATAAAACTATTAGAATCGTTTTTCACATTTTAGAACTGAGCGCCTCGGGACTGTACATAATGTTAAAGGGTGCCTTGACTGAAAAAAGGTTGAGAAACACTGGTCTAGAGGAAGGGAAGGAGGAGTGGGGTTACATTTGGATAATGCCAGAACACACACTATTAAAGACATCAAACCATGTCCTCCTGGAGCTGGCTTTGTATACAGGGGTACAGTCATGCTGGAACGGAAGAGTCTTCAAACCATTACCACAAGGCTGAAAGAATGTTCTATTGTCCAATATGTCCTTTATGTGTTGTGGCATTAACAGTGCCCTTCACTCATTCATTTGGAGGGATGCCCACACCTTTTTGCCCATAAAGTAGTTATAATGGTCAGGGGAACCATACATTGGTCATACAGTATAGTTCAGTGGTGGGCAACCTTTTTTTTTTCAACTGAGCCAAATCTCGCCAAAACCACGATTGAAATTTATTTTGAGAGCCACATTTTTAAAACTGAAAATACATAGGATGGTACACTGTTTTTAGTTTCAATAAGTTTTTATAGTAATTCATCCCCCATATAGTAATTCATCCCCCATATAGTAATTCATCCCCCATAGTAATTCATCCCCCATATAGTAATTCATCCCCCATAGTAATTCATCCCCCATATAGTAATTCACCCCCCATATAGTAATTCATCCCCCCATATAGTAATTCACCCCCATATAGTAATTCATCCCCCATATAGTAATTCATCCCCCCTATAGTAATTCATCCCCCCTATAGTAATTCATTATAGTAATTCACCCCCCATATAGTAATTCATCCCCCCTATAGTAATTCATCCCCCCTATAGTAATTCATCCCCCCTATAGTAATTCATCCCCCATAGTAATTCATCCCCCATATAGTAATTCATCCCCCCTATAGTAATTCATCCCCCCTATAGTAATTCATCCCCCATATTACTTAAAACATATAAATAAGCGAGCGCTTTCCAAAACAACAGCAGCTGTACACCAAAGGCACCATATAAGACCTCCCAACAGACAGTATATAAAAAAGGTGCAGCGCTAATATACAAGTAGATGAAAATACGTATTACATATGCAAACTCATATAAAAGTTCAAAGTGACATAGTGCATACAGGTATAAGCCACTACGTTGTGTCTGGTAGAACGTGAGGAAAGGATTATTAAATCCAAGAGAAAGTTCAATGTGAGGATGTGAATAAATTCTCAAACACTCTGATGCTTTCCAGGCAACACCGACTGTGTGCACGGTGAAAAAATGGGGGTACAAATTGCGCACTCACCAAATGCGCAACCTTTATGCGCTTTTCTCTAACATATAAGATCTCCAATCCCTCATCCAGGGTCTGGTCAGATCTGGTCAGGTCCCCTTCTTTGTCCAACACCTTGCAATCAGCCTTCTCCTTTAATGATCACCACTCTCCAAGACACCTTCTTGTCATATTTTCCCTTGCGCAGTCGTGGTCCTGAGTCACGCCATTTATCCTCATCAATCTTTTGTTATTCTGAAGAAAGAGCAGTTTGTTTCTGTGTCCATGTGGAAAGTGGATCTAATGGGAGTGGTTTCATAATTATTATTATTATTATTATACAGTATTTATAAAGCGCCAATAGTTCGCTCAGCGCTGTACATTACAAAGGGGGACAGAACATGTGACAGAACAATACCAATACAATGCAAAACATGAGGGGGATTGAGGGCCCTGCTCTTTCAAGCTTACAATCTAGGAGATTATAAAATTAATAATAATAATTAATAATTATGAAACCACTCCCATTAGATCCACTTTCCACATGGACACAGAAACAAACTGCTCTTTCTTCAGAATAACAAAAGATTGATGAGGATAAATGGCGTGACTCAGGACCACGACTGCGCAAGGGAAAATATGACAAGAAGGTGTCTTGGAGAGTGGTGATCATTAAAGGAGAAGGCTGATTGCAAGGTGTTGGACAAAGAAGGGGACCTGACCAGATCTGACCAGACCCTGGATGAGGGATTGGAGATCTTATATGTTAGAGAAAAGCGCATAAAGGTTGCGCATTTGGTGAGTGCGCAATTTGTACCCCCATTTTTTCACCGTGCACACAGTCGGTGTTGCCTGGAAAGCATCAGAGTGTTTGAGAATTTATTCACATCCTCACATTGAACTTTCTCTTGGATTTAATAATCCTTTCCTCACGTTCTACCAGACACAACGTAGTGGCTTATACCTGTATGCACTATGTCACTTTGAACTTTTATATGAGTTTGCATATGTAATACGTATTTTCATCTACTTGTATATTAGCGCTGCACCTTTTTTATATACCATCCCCCATATTAATTCATCCCTCATATAGTAGTAGTAAGTAAGTGGCAAGTAGTAAGCCAAGTCCCCCCTGTGTCAATTCACTTACCTTTGCTCCGCGCGTTCTTCCCGCCGTGTTCCCGCGTCTTTCCGGTCTTCAGGGCGGACTGTGAGAGGAGCCTAGCTCCTCTCACGTTCGTCACGCTGCCCCGCCTACACACATCCTGACAGCCAATCACTGGCTATCGGATGTGAGTGGCAGCGAGACTGGCCAATCATTGCATTTGAGCGCGCTGCCCTGGCTGGTTTTTTTTTTTTTTGGATCACGCTCTGTGGGCCGGATTAAAAGGTCCGCCGGGCCATTGTTTGCCCATTGATGGGCTAGCTGCAGAGTCCTGACTTTTGGGGCGGCCGCCCAAGAGGAGGGAGGGGAGCGAGCGCCCGGCACACAGAAGAGCCGCATTAAAGTGTGTAAAGAGCCGCGTGTGGCTCGCGAGCCGTGGCTTGCCGACCACTGGTATAGTGTATGTGTTGGGTAGCAGTACCATGACAGTTGTCACAAATTATTGATGATCTCATAGTAATCTCCATGTATGTCTGAATTCCCATTCGTATAAGTGGTGACATTGCATATATATCACTCATTTTCCTTCTCAGGCTGTGTTTTATGGCATGCTGTTCGCCTTCGCCTACCTGGCTTTACAGAAGCAGCAGGTCCTCCATGAAGGAAAGGGGGAGCCTCTCTTCTCCACCAGAGTGTCCAACGTCTTACTCTTTGTGTCTGTGGTCTCCTTTCTGGTAAGTGTTAATAAGCCATGTAGTGCCTATTAAGCCGGTGATAGATGGACTGAACCTCAGCCAGTTCAGCAGCGAGCAGCTGAGATTCGATTCATTTTTAGGCAGGCTGGTTGTACCAAGTCAACCCATCGATTGACATCAATACAACCTGCCTGTCAGATTTTTTTTACATGCAATCAGTGCTGGCGGTTGCAGCCATAGCCACTAGTCATGAGTCATTGTGTTCTGCCAGCCAAGAGGGCTCCCCACCGGCAGAACACAATGGAGGTGCAGGAGGGATTCCCCCATCAACACAGTCAGTGTTGATGGATGAAACGACCAATTTTCTTTCCTTCCATCCGTGGTGAAAGGAAAGAAAATGGCATAATATATGGGCTAAAGAAAAGATGAGGTGCAACGCTACAATTATCCACTAAATCACATAAACACGTTATGTTAGAACATTTCCATATCAAATGTAATGTAATCATATAAAATCTTAACAAAGTGCAAGATAAAAATGTCACTGACAGGTGACTGGTAGGTGTTGGCATTAACAACCAGATACAGTCCAAAGTGTGAGTGCGATTTAGATCCCAGATGATCCAGTGACTGGATCCGTGAGTGAGGTGATAATATGTGTAAAGATTGCGCACTCACCAGATACGCAATCACAATGCGCATTTAGAGTTGTAAACCTCAGGACATCAGAGGATCCTTAGGTAGGTCTGGTCAGGTCTGGTCTTATACCCCTCACCGCTTGGTAGTACTGCCACACTTAGAGATAGCCACTCAGAAATTCTGACCGAAACACACCGGTCAATATAGGCAACTCAAATGGGAGATGAAAATGTAGATCATGGAACCAGCAATCTTCATCCAGGTGGATATCAATCTTCCCCTTTAAAGATTTGAAATCAGTCCTAAAAGAAGACTCCCATCCAGCATTTGAATCAAGTTGCCAACCAGGAAAATGGCCACCGTCCCTCAAAAAAACATGATGATGTCACACGCCGAAGCTCCACCCAACACGTTTCGTCATCCAATTGACGTCATCAGGAGTATGGCTAAAGACACTCAAGCCCGTGTTTTAGGCGAGGGAAGAATCTTCAAACGAAGCGACACTCAACATAACATGGCGGGGCCATGTTATGTTGAAACCCGCAGGTTAGCTCCACTTTGCCCAAAGCACGGCAGGGACTGCACAAAGGCAGTGTGAAGCCGTCTTTTAGCAAACGTCGCATTTTAATTGTAAATCGGTGTTAGATATCAGTGTTCAATCAGCCAGTCTTTTTTTAAAGGGTAACTTCACTTTCTTTGGGATACAAAATGGCAAATAAAAAAAGAAAATATAGCATGTACAATTGTGACACAAGTCATATAAGTGAATGGAGGTGTTCTGTATACAGTGTACAGAACAACACCCCCCCCCCCCCAGAAATGTGATTTCCTGCTAGTGCAATTGGTCACTGATTTTCCCAGAAGTCTGCACTAAGATGCAAGTCAGATTTTTGGCATCTCTTGTAACATAAATGTCATTTTTGGTGAGAAACACGCAAAGGGAAATCGCATCTAAAGGGATGCAGACCCTGCCACTTTCCTCATTGGAACACTGCAAATGCCAGCAGCTGATTGGTAATTATAAAGTCACTCCCATTCTTATTCACTCTGCACATGGACCCAAACAAACAAACGGCTATTTCTTCAGAATAACAAAAGGTAGGAAAGTTTGTTAAAACTGCAATGTACCCAGAGGGTTTTTACTCAACAAAATTGTTACTCTTTAACAATATTGTGTTTTTGTTATTACTATCTCATTTAGTAAAGCCTGCTCCTACTGTAAAGAAGCCCTTCCTAAACAAATGAAAATCTTCGTATATATCAGTTGTCCCCTTATTTGTTTTACAGTTGTCTGTATAAAAATTAAGTTTTCCAAGGATTTGGGGTGGTTTGGGTTGGTTTATCTCACTTTTATTTTTTTTTTGCTTTAGAGTAGGATAGGGTTACAATGTCTGATTTTGTTCTGTTTGTGTCTAGTTAGGGAGATATTACTTCACTTCCTGTCTCAGAGACACAGCAGGAAGTCAGAGGAAAGTGCAACTTCCCCATCCATCCATGTCTCCATGCTTTATTTTGTTGAGAAAAAATCACTTTGAAAAACTCCTCCTAGCATTGCTGGCTGTGGCCATCTTGAGTAAGGGTAGATGATTCATGTAGCATTTACTTCCAGAAATCTATCTGCCCTTAGCTTAGGCATGTAGGTAGGAGGGTGTGCTTAACTGAGAAAACCCCTCCTCCCCTCCTAAAGACTCCTGGGTTGTATGACATCATTTGCCTAGGCAAGAAACCAGGAAGTAACTGAAGAATTAAAAAAATAACCAAGTGTAAAACAAGCGAATATATACTTTCCTATCTATTTACAAATGCTAGCAGCATGAGGATTTAAAATAATCTGTTTTAAAATGGAACTTCACTCTTTCAAAGTCTTTATATTCTATTGAACCAATTCTTCCTAGAGCTAGCTTCAGATTTACCATTGTGGTTTTCTGAGCACTTCTCCCATCTAGTGGTGAGATGGGGTATTGCATCTACGTGTGTGTGTGTGACCCAGAGTTACAAATCAAAGCTGCATTTCACTTTGGAGTACAAAGTATCCCAATGCACTGTATGTAACTTGGTTCATTTGACTTATTTTAGTAGTTTGGTATTGTGATTAGAAATTGCCTGTATTTTTCTCATAATCTGATCTGGGTGTTCTCTGTTCCTTTAGACATACTCAATCTGGGCCAGCAGTTGCAAAAACAAGTCAGATTGTAATGCGATGCACCCCTCCGTCTCTGTTGTACAGGTACTACTTCATTATGTGATGTATTAAAAAATTGCTTTAAACGATCCCAAGCAGTTCCAATCCCAGGGAAAGAAGAGGACAGGGAAAGCATTAGGGAAAAACCTTTAGCCCTTAGAACCACTTTAAGTTGCCAAACAACAACCAAAGCAACAAATTTTCAGTCTATATTGAAAAATATCTGCACCACCATGTAATCTAAAAATGTAAAAAAAGTCTAAACACTTGCGCACATGTCCCTTAATGCAAACAGTCTGTGCAAGTCCCGATGTATACTCACCAACGGCCACTGATTTTTATGGCCAGCTGTACACAGCACCTATGGCTTCCTGGGTGGGGATACCCACATGGAAGAAAACTATATTTGAAATATATTTTAAAAATATTCTTCCCAAATATATTGACCTATATTTGAAATGCTACAATTTTGGCCGTATTCAATATATTTCAAAATGTATTTTAAAAAAATATATATAATATATAATACTGTATATTGAAATGCATTTTTATTACAAAATATTTTTAAAAATACATTTCAAATATACTGTATGTCTTTAAAATACAAATCTACATTTTTTGGAATGCATTTACAAATATATGTTAAAATTAATTTTTTATATGTTTAAAAAAAATATGAAGAATATATTTAAAAAAAATATATGTTGAAAAATTTTTTCACACACATTTTTTTATATCTAAAAAGTGTGTGTGTGTGTGTGTGTGTGTGTGTGTGTGTGTGTGTGTGTGTGTGTGTGTGTGTGTTGGTGTTGTGGTTGGCACTTTCACCTGGCAGTACTAGGGTCGTTGGTTCGAATACCAGGCACGGCACCACCTACCTGGAGTTTGCATGTTCTCCCTGTGCCTGCGTGGGTTTCCTCCAGGTACTCCGGTTTCCTCCCACACTCCAAAGACATGCTGGTAGCCTCACTTGGACCTCCACATCTGCAACCCAAGGAGTAAAGTAACCTAATATGAAAATCACAACAGACTTTCAACACGTACCTCTATGGTCCCTGAAAATTTCACCTCCTAGATGTTTTTTTTTTGTTTTTGTTTTTTTTTTTTAGAATTTCCATACAGCCAATTGCAGTAAAAACAGTGAAGGAAGAATATTCCTTTCACCGGCTTCTGGGTGGATGGTTTTGTTTATTTCTTCATTTCATACTGCCTTTTTTTTTTTTCTTTTGTCCACCTCTACCAATCTGATCTTTTTATAAAGAAAACTAAGAGAATATCAAATGTGGCCCAAGTTATTTTTAAGGGTACTACAGTGAGCACAAATGTGGAAACATTGCTTTGTTAAAAGGACTGTAAGAGCAGCGATCTCTAGCAGTCCCCATTGATGGGCAGCACAGTGGCTAAATGGTTAGCACTTTTGTCTGGCAGTACTAGGGTTGTTGGTTCAAATCCCAGCCACGGCACCACCTGCCTGGAGTTTGCATGTTCTCCCTGTGCCTGCATGGGTTTCCTCCGGGTACTCTGGTTTCCTCCCACACTACAAAGACATGCTGGTAGGTTTGTGGATCCTCTCTAAATTGTCTCTAGTATGTGTATGTATGAATGTGAGTTAGGGACCTTAGATTGTACGCCCCTTGAGGGTTAGGGACTGATGTGAATGTACAATATATATGTAAAGCACTGTGTAAATTGATGGCGCTATATAAGTACCTGAAAGAAAGAGAAACAGAAAAAAAATATAAATAAATAAATATATATATATATTGACTATGGCCAAAATTGTAGTCAAAGTTGTGTATACTCCTTATGGGTATACACCAACGTTTTCCGATGTACGCAGCCACCTATGATCAGGATGCCTAACAGTTGCTTTAGAATGACATATTTCAGCCAGATACACTGCCAGCATGAAGCAAGGATATGGTCTTTGTTAGACTGCCTCCATCTCTCAGGGAGGATATCCTCCCAGAACAAATATCCTGAGCAGTGTCAGGACAAGGCCATCTAGCGCAAAGGTCTAAGATGCCAAACTGCACCCCCCCCAAAGATGTATGCGGCATCATATGTCAGCAGAAAATCTTGTCTTGCAGTTTCTTCAATATTGTATACAGGCCAGCAGGTGGATCAAGCCTGCCTTTTAGTTACACAAAGCCATAGGTATTCATTGTGTGCCATTACAGCCTTCTAGCTGCCAGCCTCCTAACAACCAATGATGCCATCAGTTGATGTTGGATGTTGGTCGCATGCACAGCATCCTTGTTTGACCCTTCCCTGCCCCCCCCCCCCCCCCCCCCCGTCAGTAATGGTGTCAGATTAGTTGAGTGATAGAAAAACACAGACAGCAGAGAAGCATTGGAATACTATTCAGTACCAGTGTGCAAAGATGGATTTGCATTAGAATAATAAACCCCCTCTAACGTTGGGGGTCCTACATGTGTGGATGTTGCTGCGTTAGGTAAAGCTATTAGAATAGTTTTTTACATTTTAGAATGGGGCGCCTCCAGATTGCTCATAACTTTAAAGGGTGCCTTGATTGAAAAAAAGGTTGAGAAACACTGCCCTAGACATAAATCCTCTTTGCAAACCAAAATTCCCCCCCTCTGCCACTACAAATCACCCCCCCTCTAAGTTCAAATCCTCTCTCTCCCCTAAATCTCTCCTACTAGCACATATTAACCCCCCCGGAAAAAGCACCTAGCATACATCCTCACCCCTCAAATCCACCCCCCCCCCAATGTCCCTTTCTGAACACAAATACTCCCCCCAGTTATCTCTACTAGCACAAATTATCCCCCTTCCAAATTTCCCCTCCTAGAACACATACCTCCCAATCATCCCTATTAGCACAATCCCCCCACCCCAAATCTCCCCCTTTAACAATTCCAAAATTCTCCTGCTAGCACAAATCCCCCCTTCTGGCACAACCCCTTCAAATCCCCCTTCCTTGTACACACCATCTTCCTTTCCATCCCCTAGCACACCCCCCACCATCAAATCACCCCTTCTAGGACAAAGTGTACACCCCCCAATCCCCTTCTTCTAGTGATGCCACTGTCACTGCTCATGTCAGCTAGTAATGGCAGAAATTCTCTGGACTGTGCCTCTCCCACCTCACATACTACAGGCACTTGGGGCAGCCGCCCCTCCTGCCCCCCCCCCCCCCCCTTGTCCCAGGCCCTGATCCTGAGCCCTGCACTGAGATCAAGGCCCACCAGTGCCACATGCCCTAAACTATGAGGAACCTAAGATTTGCTTTACAATGTGCTAGATAACAAGTAAATATTTCTGTCTTGTATTTTTCCTGCAGATTTTAGCCTTTGTCCTGATTAGGAACATTCCTGGATATGCTCGCTCTGTGTACAGCTCCTTCTTTGCCTGGTTTGGTAAAATTTCTTTAGAGGTAAGTACTGGTTTGGGCCCGGTAAAGGCACTGGCAGACATCACACAATGGTCTTTTCTGATCATATTGCTGAACACAACACCTCATGTTTTTTTTTTTTTTTTTTTTTTAACTTATGATTTTGTTACTATCCACATAGGGGACCAATAATCCACTGTGATAGCATAGTGACAGGTCCTGTTTGTAGGGGGGGAGGGGGTGGGGAGAGGAGCAGTGGAGGGGGCAGGAGAGGAGCAGTGAAGGCTCCCTCACTGGCTGTCACTATATGTCGGTACCGATTTTTAAATGCAATTGCCAGCTTTTTTTTTTTTTCTTTTCTTCACTATAGCTCACCGAATTAGCTGTCACTTTCCCTGTGCTAAAGAAAACTTTGTTTCTTTTAACTCGGGGAAATAAACTAAAAGGAAACTTATTTTATTTCTTTTATCTCAGGAAAAAAACTAAAAGGTAACTTTTGTTTCTTTTAGCTTGGGGGAAAGTGACAGCTGATTCTGTGAGCTATGGTGAAGAAAAAAAAAAAGATGGTAATTACATTTAAAAACCGGCACTGATGTATAGTGACAGCCAGTCACAGTATACACTTCTCCTCTCCTGCCTTTCTCAGCCCCCCCCCCCTCCCACAGTTCCCTGTATCGGCACTTGTATCGACTACATTTTTCCCATCAGCATAATGCCGATAGGGCTATTTTCGGCTGATATGTTTCGGTGGCCAAAATCTCGGTGCATCCCTATCTTCCAGGTTTTGTTGTCAAAGCTTAATTGAACAAGCTGAAGTTAGAAGCTGAATGGCTCCCATGCACAGCTACAGATTCTGAGTGTTCCAGTTTTACCCTAGGTTCACACCTAAGCATTTTCCGCAGCATTTTACAGAAACGCAGTACAGTCCATTTAACATGATTTCCTATGGGACACGTTCACATCTCCGTGTTTTCAACCGGTGCATTTTTTGGTAGGGTCAGGGACTTTTTTTAACGCACAAAGTTGTATTTTTGGTTCTATAGACTTCAATGGAAATGCTGCACAAAAGTATGTAGTGTGTTTTTGCATTTTAAATCTGCCTAGCAACAAGAAAAAAAAAAAAAAAAAGAACCCCCTCCCCATAGATAACAGTTGTTTTTTATCTGCCCTGTTCACACTATACAGGTGTGTGGCATAAAAACCTTCTACAGACTAACGCAAAGTTTATTTTCCACATTGCTGAAAGACCGATCATTTAGCAAAGTGTTCTTCCTTGCAGCTCTTCATCTGTCAATACCACATTTGGCTGGCAGCGGACACCAAGGGCATACTGGTCCTCATCCCAGGGAACCCGGTGCTCAACATCATCATCAGCACGTTCATCTTCGTGTGCGCTGCCCACGAGATCTCTCACATAACCAACGACCTGGCCCAGATCTGCGTACCGAAGGACAGCTCGGCCCTATTCAAGAGGTTACTGTGCATCTCTGCCTTCTTCTTTTCATACTCCTGTTTTTATCATCAGTACAACATTAACAAGACTTCACAGACCGTCTCCCCGCATCCCCCGAGCCGGCGGGCCCAGCAGGCACTTTTTACGGCTTGTTTTGTAAATAAAGTATTGGAAGCGGTCCAAACCGAGGCAGAATCTGCCCCAGCCGCATCCATGAACAGCACTGTACAGGACAATCGTTCCTTTTTCTAAACACAACTTCCGTTCACACGTCTAAGTAAAGCCGCACATGGAGGTCCTGGGGGAGGAAAGAAAAATAAAAAGATACCGCCGTCTTTTTTGTCACGTTAAGCAGAGGTCGATCTTGCAAAGCTCCACTGACCACTCAAGCTGTGAACAGTTGATCGTTATGTGAGATCGTTGAACTGGTACAAGTACACCAATGTGTTAACGAAGAAAAAAAAAAAACAAATAGCAGAGAAAGGACCTTTAAGGAAGTATGTGGTGTGCTTTAAGTGCAATCCTTTGTGGGAAGAAGGTTTTTAATATGTGTGTAATGAAAAATAATTGAAGTTTATAATTTATTTCAAAGAAATGTCCATAGTCGTATTTATTGTTTTGTTATGATGCCCTGTCCGTTTAAAGGAGAGCTCCACTAGGCATGGATTGGTGAGGCGGGGGGGATGGGGGGCAGGAGATTTTACTTCTCAGAACTGTGCACTCCTATGGCCTGCACTGTGTGTATTCCAATCTCCTCCACTATAATTACAATTACAGGACTAAAATGGTCCCCAAGACCTTGAAATATGTTACTTAAAGTGGAAAGCCTAAGTCAAACTCTTCTTAGAATTGAACTCTCCCCCCCTCCTACCTATCCCACCTAACCTGTATTAAATGAAAAATAAAAAAGATAAGTATACTTACCGATTAATCTGCTGGATCACGTTGGTTCAGTCACATGATCCTGCAGCTGCGGGTTAGGGAGTGCTCAAGTCATGTGATCCTGCAGCTCCAGCTTAGAGAGTGCTCGAGTCATGTGATCTTGCAGCTCTGACTAAGGGAGTGTTCAAGTCACGTGATCTTGCAGCTCCGGCTTAAGGAGCGCTCGAGTCACGTGATCCTGCAGCTCCGGCTCAGGGAGTGCTCAAGTCACGTGATCCTGCAGCTCCAGCTTAGAGAGCGCTCGAGTCATGGGATCCTGCAGCTTTGGCTTAGGGAGCACTCGAGTCACATGATCCTGCAGCTCCAGCTTAGGGAGCGCTGCAGTCACGTGATCCTGCAGTTCCAGCTTAGGGAGCACTGCAGTCACGTGATCCTGCAGCACCGGCTTAGGGAGCGCTGCCGTCACGTGATCCTGCAGCACCGGCTTAGGGAGCGCTGCCGTCACGTGATCCTGCAGCACCGGCTTAGGGAGCGCTGCCGTCACGTGATCCTGCAGCACCGGCTGGGAGCGCTGCCGTCACGTGATCCTGCAGCACCGGCTTAGGGAGCGCTGCCGTCACGTGATCCTGCAGCACCGGCTTAGGGAGCGCTGCCGTCACGTGATCCTGCAGCACCGGTTTAGAGAGCGCTGCCGTCACGTGATCCTGCAGCACACGGCTTAGAGAGCGCTGCAGTCACGTGATCAGCTAGCCGGTTTAGGGAGCACTGCAGTCACGTGATCCTGCAGCACCGGTTTAGAGAGCGCTGCCGTCACGTGATCCTGCAGCACCGGCTTTGGGAGCGCTGCAGTCACGTGATCCTGCAGCACCGGTTTAGAGAGCGCTGCAATCACGTGATCCTGCAGCATTAGTTTAGAGAGTGCTGCAATCACGTGATCCTGCAGCTGTGGCTTAGGGAGTGCTTAACGGCTGGGAATTCTGGGAGCTGTGATGTTACCAATAGGCTCCCATGGCTCAGCTGTTTTTGAAGCTGCAAGATCACATGACCAGATCAGATTAAAAATGGGTAAGTACATGTATCTTTTTTTTTTTTCATACAGGTTAGGTAGATTGTATATGTGTACAAAATGTACACAATCTGGCTTCCAATATGCAGCTCAGCCCAGTTTGATTTTTATTTGAGTGTTTCCACAGTCTACAACCCCAGTGAGGAGATCTCTTACCATGCCTGTAACAGGGCAGGGGTCTTCTAAATTTCTTCATATATACATAGACTGTCCACTAGGGGGCCTGTCACACCAGCATAATGGGCTGTTACTAGGATTCAGTTTTAAAGGGCCAGTAGTCTAATTGGGAAAGAAATCAATAGGTTACATTTACAGATATACCGTATGTGACCAGAATTGCTGATGTAAAGAAATTAATCTGTGAATGTGTGTGAGACTTTTTTACATACCGCTAATTCCTGTCCTGCATCTCTTGGAACGACAATGTGGACACCCTGGTGAGCCGCCTTTTACAAATTTGTTAAAGCAATGCCAAATATTTCTAGTTTTTGTACAGCTGAACCTTTTACTGATGTATTTCTGAATGGGATTAGAGATCTTTGACATTTGTGTAAATTGTGTTTTTAGGGTCACTGGACCTTTTAAAGGATACGTTCACCTTTTTGTAAAAAAATTAATAAATGCACGTGCATTTGTAGAAAAAACATGTGCTTTTTTATCTTTTTAAACTGCAGGCTGTAAAGCAATTGCATCAATGATCAGTGGTTCGTGGGTGCAATGTCATGCTCCTGCAGACACTCAGTATAGCTGTCTAGTATAGCCAAAGGTCAGACAGTTACTGAATGGCAGGAAGAATCAATGAACTACGAGAGTGCTCGGCACCGCCCTCCCTGTTCATTGAGCTACAAGACCTCTCCCATGGTGTCAGACAGGTCTGTGAATGAATGAACCACAAGTACTATGTAAATGATTGATGCAGCTGTGTGAGCGGAGCCCTGCACAACTGCGCTGTTTGTAAAATCGTGACAGCAGGGGAGGGGGGGGGGGGATCCCTCAGCTGCTTTTACAACGGGGTTCGGGTACTGGAGCACAATAACATGTTACATCCTATATACAGTGTAACGAAAGGTGAACCTATCCTTTAAAGTGAACCCATGCTTTACGCATGCAGGGAAAAGTAACAGGTTCTCTTAAAGTGTATGTCAGGGGAAAAAAAAAAGCATTCAGTGAATCTCTGCATTACATGCACATTCCACCACGATTCGTGTCTCTACAAAGTACAGAAAAATGATCTGCCAGAAATCCAGTGAGCTTCCAACTTCCTGTATTGAGCTGATAACACTGCCTCCACCGAATTAAAACTCCCAGCAATGTTGTCAGCTCTGTCTGAGTTTTCCTGTGCTGGACTACAGAGCATCCCCCCCCCCCTTTTCCCTATCTTCATAAAATGAGGTGCTCTGTAGTCCTATAGGGAACACAGGCAAGCTTGACAATACTGCTTGGAGTTTTAGTCCAGCAGAGGCAGTGTTGTCAGCTTACCACAGGATGTCAGGAACTCACTAGGTTCCTGGGGAAATGTGCATATATTGCAGGGATGTACTGGAAATGTTTTTTGTTTTTGCCCAGGCGTACACTTTTAACTGCCAACCCGACCAGCTGCACATAACTCGCCTTCCGTTCCCTAACCCTGATGCTCCCTTCTGCCACCAGATAACTTGAACCCGGTACTTCTGGGTATAGGGAAGCTTGTGACTTACCCCCCTTGATAGCACTGGTACTTGGCGATTGGCCCAGTGCTGTCGTATGGGAGTTGGGGTAAGGCTCTTTGCTCTCACGTGGGGATCAGGTGAGTCTTCAAACTTGGTGATTTATCCAATGCTGTCATGTGGATGGGGATAGAATTTTCATCCCTTGTGATTGGGCCAGTTCTTTCATACGGGAATTAGGAGAGAGTCCTCTGCCTCTCAGGATTGACCCAGCTGCCATATGTAGGTTGGGGAAGAGTCTTCAGGCTTCATGAGTGGCCCAGTGTAGTCTTGTGGGGATTGAGCCAGAGTCTTCCACCCTCCTGATTGGCCCAGGTGAGATAGTCTTCAGTCCTCTGGATTGGCCCAGTGCTGCCATGTGAGGGTTGGTGGAGTTTCTTCAGGCTTCATGATTGGCCTTTGGTGTCATATGTAGCTTGAGAAAGGGTCTTCAGCCTCCTGATTGTCCAGTGCTGTCAAATAGGGGTTGGGGAAGAGAGCTTTAAGCCCTCATAATTGACCCAGTACAGTCATATCAGGGCTGGTAGAGAGTTTTCAGCCTTTGTGATTGTCTAAGTGCTGTCATATGGGGGTTTTGAGAGTCTTCAGCCTTCGTCATTGACCCAGTGATGCCATATTGAGGTTGGCGGAAGACTTCAGTTCTCATAATTGGCTGTCATACGGGGGGCTGGGAGAGAGTCGTCAGCCTTTGTGATAGTCCCAGTGCTGTCATATGGGGGTTGGGAGAGAGTCTACAGCCTTCTGAATGGCCCATTGCTCTCATATGGGGGTTAGGAGAGAATCTTCAGCCCTTGTAATTGACCCATTGCTGTAATTTTGAAACTGGTAGAGAGTCTTCAGCCTTTGTGATTGGCCCAGTGCTGCCATATGGTGATTGGGGGGAAATCTTCACACCTTATAATTGGCCCAGTGCTGCCATATGGTGGTTGGGGGAAGTCTTCACACCTTCTAATTGGCCCAGTGCTGCCATATGGTGGTTGGGGGAAGTCTTCACACCTTATAATTGGCCCAGTGCTGCCATATGGTGGTTGGGGGAAGTCTTCACACCTTCTATGGCCCAGTGCTGCCATATGGTGATTGGGGATAAGTCTTCACACCTTATAATTGGCCCAGTGCTGCCATATGGTGGTTGGGGGAAGTCTGGTAATTGGCCCAGTTCTGTCATATTGGAGGGAAAGTCTTCAGCCTTTGAAATTGGCCCAGTGGTCATATGGGGGCTAGAAGAGTCTTTGGCCTTCATAATTTCCACAGTTCTGTCTTATGAGGTTTCAGAGACAGTCTATAACCTACGTGATTAGCCCGGTCTTGTCATATGGGGATCTGGAGAGTCTTTAGCTCTGTGTAAGTCACAACCTAGAGCTCACCGGGGACTTTATCTCTTCTCTCCCACTGGGAGAAGGAAGTTAAGTTCTCCGGGTAAGGGGGGC